TTTCAGTTCTTTTGAGTATCTTGGAATTCAGGTTAAAGGCTTCAAACGAACTTTGACACTAACTTTATACAAAACTCCAACATGTGGAAAATTTCTTTACTGACTTGAATGATCTTCTATCTCTCATATGCATTGATTATGATTGTTTAATAATTGTTGGTGATTTCAACATTCATGTGGACAAACCCGAAGACAGAGGGGCAAAAAAGCTCTTTAATATTTTAGAAAATTTTGGTTTAACACAACATGTCAAACAAGCAACACACACTCCAGGACACACACTGGACTTGGTTATCAGTAAGGGTGTGACTATTTCCAATGTCGATGTAACTGATGTCGCCCTGTCGGATCACTTTGCTGTTATCTTTGAAGGTTCTTTATTCTTTGACCCGCTTGGACAAACAGCTACTGTCACAAAACGTTCTTTCACAGAAAACACAGCAGAAACATTTAATCAAATCTACTCTTCTTCCTCACCCTTAAGCTGTAATGATGTAGATAAGTTGGTAGATGATTTTCAGTCTAAAGTTTCATATATCATTGATTCCATTGCTCCAATTAAAGTAAAGGTTGTGTCTGGTATAAAAAAATCTCCATGGAGAAAAGCACAAACAGTTCGATCTGCAAGACAACTCTGTCGCAGAGCAGAACGAAAATGGAGTAAAACTCAACTTCACGTTCATAATGACATCTATAAAGAAAGACTATGCAACTATCACTTAACACTAAAACACACAAGGGAGGCTTTCTTTGCAGATGTCATAAACAAAAACATCAACAATGCTTGAACTTTATTTGCAACAGTTGACAGGCTCACAAACCCTCCTATGACGTTATCACCTGAACTCCAATCTAATGCTGCCTGTAACAAGTTTTCCAGCTTCTTTTCAGAGAAAATTAAAAAAATCAGAGGATTAATCTGCACATCAACTCTAAAGCCAGAACCATTGCTGTACCAAAACAAAACAAATACAGAAAAAATGACCCATTTTCAACTACTTAATCATAAAATCCTAGAAGAAATTATAAGTCAATGAAGTTCACGCTCCTGTTGTCTGGATGTCCTACCCACACATTTCTTTAAGAAAGTCCTGCCTGTTATTGCTACTGATCTGATCCAAATCGTAAACTCATCGCTTACATCAGGTGTTTTCCCCAGGCTTTGAAAACCACTGTTAAAAAAGAACAACCTGGACAAATCACTACTGCAGAATTACAGGCCGATCTCAAACCTCCCATTCATCAGCAAAATGATTGAAAAAACTGTGTGTAAACAATTAAATAGTTTCCTCATGATGACCAACTGCTTTGACACTTTCCAGTCTGGTTTTCGTGCTCACCACAGCACGGAGACTGCCCTCGTAAAAGTATTCAATGATATCCATATAAATACGGACTGTGGGAGAACCACGGTGCTGGTTCTGTTGGACCTCAGTGCAGCTTTTGACACTGTCGACCATGACATATTATTGAATCGACTTGAAAGTTGGGTCGGACTCTCCGGTTTGGTGCTTGACTGGTTTTAATCTTACATAAAGAACAGGAATTTTTTTGTTTCAATTGGAAACTTCTCATCAAAGAGGTCAAAGGTCACATGTGGGGTACCCCAAGGTTCAGTCTTATGACCCCTCTTTTTTAATATTTATATTCTCCCACTAGCTCAGGTTATAACAGGAAATAATATTAGATGCCACAACTATGCGGATGACACACAGCTCTATATTACGATGTCACCAGGTGACTCTGAACCCATCCAATCACTGAATAAATGTTTAGAACAGATAAATGTGTGGATGTGCCAAAACTTTTTCCAGCTGAACAAAAACAAAACTGAAGTCATTATTTTTGGACCTAAAGAGGAACGATCTAAAGTCAATGCACAACTTCAGTTATTACAACTAAAAACTAGCGATCAGGCCTGAAACCTGGGAGTAGTGATGGACTCGGACTTGAACCTTGCGAGCCACATAAAGACAATTACAAAGTTGGCCTTCTATCACCTGAAGAACATCTCCAGGAGTAGAGGATTAATGTCTCAGCCAGATCAAGAGAAACTCATCAATGTGTTTATCTTTAGTCACATTGATTATTGTAACAGCGTCTTCACAGGTCTGTCCAACAAATCAATCAAACAGCTGCAGCTGATCCAGAAGCTGCTGCTCGCGTTCTCACTAAAACCAGGAAGATAGACCACATAACACCAGTTTTAAAGTCCCTCCACTGGCTCCCTGTAGCTCAAAGAATACATTTTAAAATACTGTTGTTAGTTTATAAATCACTGAACGGTTTAGCACCACAATACATCAAAGATCTGCTGTTGTTGTATCAACCTTCCAGACCTCTCAGGTCTTCTGGTTCTGGTCTGCTTTGCATCCCCAGAACCAAGAGAGGAGAAGCAGCTTTCAGCATCTATGCACCCAAAATTTGGAACAAACTTCCAGAAAACTGTAAAACAGCAGAAACCCTGACGTCTTTTAAATCGCAATTAAAAACACACCTGTTTAGAATTGTTTTTGAAATGTAATATGTAACAATGTATTGAATATTAAATGTTGCATTACATTGTGTTCTTGTGTTTATGATGTAAAGCACTTTGAAATGCCTTGCTGAAATGTGTTATACAAATAAAATTTGATTGATTGATTGATTAAAGTGAAATCTGGAACAATATTTTTTAGGTTCTCTCTCCGCTTTCAAACAAATTCTCGTACAGTTCGCCTTGGTGCAAACCAAATACATGAAATATGCATCTTTTTAGACTACACAATTCCTTATTGGTCTGTATTATGGTAAAAATGAACACATCAGAGTTGCCTGCACTTCCATATGTGGTGATTTTAATAAGCTTGTACCTGTTCTCCTGTTTTCTGCTTAGCAATGCTGTTGCCAGTTTGTGTTGGGTCAGCGTAGGTGGAACAAACACATTTGCAAACTGTTTCAAAATTAGAAATATTCCATCGCTATTCCTGTGTCAAATGAACTGCTGTTGATGTTCAAAATTATATTGCAGTTATTTAAATAGGGAAAGTGTGAATGCACATCCAGACACACCAAGAAAGCAAACTCTGAGCTGCCTCAAAATCTAGGTCTCAGTTTGATTAAAGGGAAATCTGGAACAATTTGTATGTGGATGCAAGAGGACTAGTGATCATTTAAAAAGCAAGAAGGGAACCATGGCGCAAGGCACAATTGGTAAATATAACCAAAATAAAAGGAAAAAATGGCTCATGATATATTTCTAAAAACAAAAGAGAAATCTTAGAAGTGGATTTTGGTTACATTTTGTGAAGAAGATAGATGTACTCATGTCTTCTCAGCTTTTTATGTTATTTGTTCAGTAGATCTGCAAACCACCACAGGCAATGGGGTGAAAAGGTTTTTCAATTACTTTGAATTGTTTAAAAAAGTACAGTATGAAAGCGAACCACACCATCTAAAATGGAACAAATGTTGCAATTTTGGCCCTCAGTTGAACTGTGAAGTTGGCCCCCCCACCTTCTTCAAATCAGACAAAAATGGTGTCAAACGTTTGTGCTGCGTTTGTGCTGGTTTGTGCAGCAAAAATTTTCGTTTGTGCTGCTATCATTTGAAAGATATAACGAAATGTTTTTAGAGGTCATCAAAGGTCAACCAGCCCCCCACCTTCTTCAAATCAGACAAAATAGGTGTCAATCAACTCGGCTGCGTTTGTGCAGGTTTGTGCAGCAAAATTTTTGTTTGTGCTACTTTGGCTTTGAAGATATTGATGAAAAGGTAAAGGTCAAAAGGTCAACCAGCCCCCCCACCTACTTCAAATCAGACAAAATTGGTCAAACGTTTGTGCTGCGTTTGTGCTGGTTTGTGCAGCAAAAATTTTTGTTTGTGCAGCTATCATTTTAAAGATATAAAGAAATGTTTTTAGAGGTCATCAAAGGTCAACCAGCCCCCCACCTTCTTCGAATCAGACAAAATAGGTGTCAATCAACTTGGCTGCGTTTGTGCAGGTTTGTGCAGCAAAAATTTTCGTTTGTGCTGCTTTGGCTTTGAAGATATTAATAAAAGGTTAAAGGTCAAAAGGTCATCCAGCCCCCCACCTACTTCGAATCAGACGAAATAGGTGTCAATCAACTCGGCTACGTTTGTGCTGGTTTGTGCAGCAAACATTTTTGTTTGTGCTGGTATCATTCTGAAGATATTAAGAAAAATGTTCTCCAGGGGTCATCAGAGGTCAACCACTCCCCTGGCCCTACTCACATTTGGAAACATAAATAAATTTGGTGTCAACCAACTGTGCTATGTTTGTGCAGGTTTGTGCAGGAATTTTTTTTCATTTATACTGCTATTACAAATTATAGAACTATAAAATATTATGAGTTATATAAATAATAAGGTCATCAAAGGTCAACCAGCTCCCCTAACTTCTTCAAATCAGGTAAAATGGGCGTTAATAGACTTGACTACATTTGTTCAGCAAAAATGTTTGTTTGTGCAGCTATCATTTTAAAGATATTAAAAGAAAAGTGTCTAGAGGTCATCAAAGGTCAGCCAGCCCCCCCACCTTCTTCGTATCAGACAAAATAGGTGTCAATCTGATGACCCCTGGAGAACATTTTTCTTAATATCTTCAGAATGATACCAGCACAAACAAAAATGTTTGCTGCACAAACCAGCACAAACGTAGCCGAGTTGATTGACACCTATTTTGTCTGATTCGAAGAAGGTGGGGGGGCTGGTTGACCTTTGATGACCTCTAAAAACATTTCGTTATATCTTTCAAATGATAGCAGCACAAACGAAAATTTTTGCTGCACAAACCAGCACAAACGCAGCACAAACGTTTGACACCATTTTTGTCTGATTTGAAGAAGGTGGGGGGGCCAACTTCACTCAGGTCAGCAGACAGACAGGCGTGAAAAGATTGTTTCGAGTTCTTGCAAGTCAAGACATACACTTGATTTTCTGAGACAAAACAATGACATTGAAGCAGATAATCTAATTTAAATATTTGGAGTCATACATACCCTCTTACACAAGTTACATAAACCGATGCACCAAATAGAGTCCCCTGCCTGACGTCATATACCATGTATGAATGTGCTGGAGGGATACCACAGTTCCTCGCTTTAATATATAAATACAACAAAAATAAAAATACAAAAGAACAACAGTCATCAGTGTGATATTATCGTGATCCAAGATGACAATGTAAAGCATGTTAGATAACTGTTTTTATCAGATGGAAATTGCAAGTTAGACAGGACTCACGCTTGCAGGTGATGTCTGGCTCGGTCCACTTCCCATTGACGCAGGTCATCTCCCCAGTGCCACTTACTTTATTATATCCAAGTATGCACTTGTAATTGATCACAGTACCATCAGGGAATTCTTTTATTTTAAGAGATTCTGCTGTGATCTCTATGCGTACTCTATTTGTAGGATTTTCACAATCAGCTAGGAGAAAAGAAAAATGACACAAAGACACATAAAAGCAAAGCTGTTATTGTGACTTTGGTTATTTTAAAATGACTCTCCAACATAAGTTGAAAAATATGTTAGTTGAAGTAAGACTGGGGCATATGAGGAAAATCTAATATCCTGATATATTTTTGCTATGTCACGATACACAGTATACAATATTCTGAGCTGCAATGTTATTTCAATCTGGAGAGAATTTGACATACAAATTAAGAGTCTTTGGCACAGGGGCCCCAGCTGAGGACATCAATTATCACAAACTTTCCGATGGGCTCGGATGAGCATTCCGTATGCTGAGAGGAACGTTATCCCCCCGGGACCCGACAGTGGTGGTGGAGGCAATGAAGGATGTGGCCGAATGGCTGAGCAAGTGGAGGTGACGAACAAGTTAACTGCGAACGTCCAGCAAATGTTTTGTCAAATCTTAATAAATGTCTGATGGACGTTTGCTGTTGATTTGACGCTCTGCGTCGTTATGACAACGTTAAGTGGACGTTGTCATAACGTTTAATGCTAGACGGGTAGTTGTTAAAGTTAAGGTTATTTTTAAATAAAAGTGTTCTTATTTGTCAAAGTGACCCTGACATCAAACAAAACGTAATATGTTTTATATGTGACAACAAAAATTAGTACAATATTATATCTTTGAAGCCGGTTTGGCCGGTGACGTACTGACCTGCAACGTTCCCGATAAATAGGCACAGGATAAGGAGTTTTCTCTGTCTGCCGATGTCAACTAAACCCTCCATAGATGTGGAAGGAAATACAAACCATCCGGATGAAGCTGCCTCTACATCAGTCCAACTTTAGTCATGGAAATGTGGTGTGTAGAGACGCTCCTCACGGTGGAAATGATTCTCCTTCCATTGAAGTCAATTCATTTTCTTTAGTTACTAGAGGGAAAGGAGGTGAGGTTGAAAAATTTCAAAATAAAAGTCTTGGTTTCCCAACATAAATTACTGTTTTGGAATTCACTAATTCAAAAAAAAAAAAAAAAAAACGACTTTCACAAGAATCCTAACCACGAAGCAATTTACATGCTTAATGACATTGTGTAATTAATTGATTTATTAATTCATTGTAATTAATTAATTATCTAATCTCCTGAGTGGAATTTTGGACATTTGTATTTCACTTTGTTTTCGCATACAAACTGATAAACTGATCTTTGATAGATCTCCCTTCAAATTATGCATTAGGAGAGTAACTGATGAACTTTGAATACAGTGAGTTATGTTATTAGAATTTAGTAATATGCTTTTATAACATGTTATTGAAAGAAGGTAGCCACTGCCAAAAGGTAAATGACATTACAAAATATTTGTACACAACAAATTTGTATTCGTATCGTATCTTTTTGGTAAGGGTAGATATCGTGCTGGTGTCACTATCGTTATAGAAATAAGTTCAACAATTCACCCAAAGAAACTGAAAACTATTCCTGCAGACATGAATTCCTCTTACTGTAAAAATAGTCTTGGCGCTATTTCCTTTCCACTTGTATCTTCAGTTTTTGTTTTGAGTAAAATAAAAGCTGGATAATCACTTATCCATTCTTACTTTCAATAATAATTTGGTAAGCTAACTGTACTGTGTTGCACTTTGAGCTCAGGTGACGTTACAGCACCTGGTTTATATGCAGTACCACTACAGGGATCACGTGGACCACCACCAGTTCCAGGAACACAGTTTGAGAACAACTGAGAAAGATGATAATTAATTCATATCAGTCACTTTTAATTATTTTAATATAATTCTTCACTTATTAAAGCTAGGGTTAGGGTTAGGAGAAAGTGGTTCAATACTCTGAGTCTGGTAGTTATTACATTATAAAGAAAAAAAAAAACTTTTTATACATCTTTATCTTCACATATGCATGAATTGATACATTGTACACACATTCTTTCATTGTCAAATATAAATTATTTCTTTATCTATTGTTTTTTCATCAGAAAATATTACATTTTAAAGATGATTTGTAATCTTTCTCAATAAAATGGTTTGTTAATATTCTGCATACCAGACTAAAAACCCACAGTAAACAATCATGAAAAGAAAGAATCTTCACTATCCTCCAATGCAGACTGTAAACTGTATTAAACCCACTGTATCATTCCTGAACAACTTGGATTATATGTCAGTCCTGAGAAAACATCACATAATAGAAAAACCTGGAAACTCGCTGGCGTAGTATTTATGAAGACATTTTAGCTACACTTTTTTCAATGACTGAAATAATTTAGAACATAAGTAGAAAAAGTGTTTACAACACATTTAGTAGGAATAAAAGAAATTAAGTGAAATAAAGTATTTTCAATCTTTTAGTAATTATGTCAGAATAATTATAAAAATGTTCTCTTTGCCTGTGCAGCATATCTTTCCCTTCTCTCATTTCAATCTGGATCAACTCACACAGAGAAAAATAAGCAGTTAGGAGATTTTAATGAACAAATCTTTGGCGCTCGAACCGGCGGAAGACTAGTGAGCGTAGATCGCCGGGGGAAGATGCTGAGTACGGCGAATCTCACTAGTCTTACCCCCCGGTCCGAAAACTGGTGATGGAGCGGAGCCTTGGATGGAGGAGCGCGTAAGGCGCCTGGAGAATGGTCATCGGGTTGAAGGTGGGGATGGGGAGGAGGTGGGCGAAGCACAGCTGACGAGCAGGCAGATCCCTGCAGGCTCGACTTCTTGAATGGACCGGCTTGACGTTGATTGGCTGGGACGCGCAAGGGCGCCGATCCTGATTGGCCGCAGCGGGGTGTGACGTCATTGAAGTGGATCAGCTTTGTTTGTAGATCAGCTGTGTTCTGTCTCCCAGCTTGAATTTACGCCTTAGCTCCATTACTGACTTTCTTGTTTAACTGATCTCACCTAAAGGCCACTACAGCCAATGAAACTGTTAAGAAAACGTGTATCTAAAAATTAAACTTTGAAACAATACAATTGCCTTCATGATGTTTAGTTTTCTTCTTTTGAAGTGAAAACAAATATAAGTTGAGAAAAGGGAGCCTGCTTGTTTTATCCAAGGCGTGGTAAGGCGCTCAGAGTTCGGCAGTCCTTCATCTGTAGTAAATGTCCCAACAGCTGGGTCCAGTTCCACCTGAGAAAGAAACAGATGAGAAACCAAAGACTGACTGTTTAATCAGAGTTGCATTTTTATTGTGGAGGGGAAAAAATGACAATCGGATCAAGAGCTATTTCTTCTTGCTTGAATATGAAAATCATATTTATACTTAATGATTCACACAGAAAATTACAAGAAGAAAAATGAACAAATTAAAACAGTTTAAACAAGATTGTTTGGTATTGTGATGGTCTGAGCTCAAAAACCAAATGAAATGGATACCTGAATGAAGAAGGATACTTAAAGACTTCGGAACTGAAATATCCCAGTGTTACTATCCTTCAAAGTCATCTGAGCTATAGTGTCAAAAGATAGAAAATTTGTGTGAGAATTGTTGGACATTTCATTTTTTTATCAAAAAGTTAACTGATTTAATGCATTTGTAACTAGCATTCCATGGAATTAAAGGTTAGTCATTGTAATGAAAATATTTTGAACAGAAAAAAATATACAAAAATATTATAAACCAGTAAATTTAGACAAAATTAAGGCTACCTTTTACCCAATTGTATATTAGCAAACACTTAGCCGCCTTGACGGAAGCAGTGATCATTGTCCAGTCTAAACTTTGTGTGTTGTCAAAAAAAAATCCTGAACATCTTTCAGCCTGGCTAAAAGTTTACGAAGCTATTTCTAAGGCTTTATGACTCCAGTGAAGTACACAACCACTTATCAATCCAGATGTTTGTTTTTTCTGGTTTTTACAATTTCCAATAAAATCCTAATTTCAATGTTTTCTCTCTTTTTTTTTTTTTTTTTTACTTTTTTCAGGTATTTTTTTATTTTTATAAGTGGTTTGATGATATTAAACATTTGTGCAAACAATAAGAAATCTGTCAATGGATTGTATTTAGTTTCAAGTAAAGAATCTCAAACATTATTACATAGTAGTTAATGTGCTTTTTTCTCCTTGGCAGTATGTTTTACTTTCACCCAGTTACACAGACATTAACAGCTAAAATGTAACCTGCCTCAGTGTTTTTACATTAGTCTGTTATTAAAAACCAACAAACACAATAAAACACTTGAAGATGAATGCTTGTACATTGTTTCAGGGATTTTTAGTTAATTTAACACTAAAATGGAATCAAAGTGTTCAACTTTACCGTGTATTTACATGTAAACATGCAGAAGTTGAAGGGAGAGAACATGAAATAGGGAAAAGGAGCAAGATGAAAAGCTTAAATGTTTATATACAGCTCTGGTAAAATGAGAGCTTGATCATATAAAATGATCAATCTCTCTGATTTTAGTTTTTTACATGTTTGAGTAAAATGAACAATGTTCTTTTATTTTATGAACTACTGACAACATTTCTCTGAAATTCCAATCAAAAAGTTAGTATTTTGTTGCACAAAATTAGATATGGTCAAAATAACAAAAATAATAAGAAGAAGAAGACGAAGAAGAAGAAGAAGAAGAAGAAGAAATGCAGCGCATTCAGACCTCAAATAATGCAAAGAAATCAAGTTCATATTCATTTAGAAACAACAATACTTATGTTTTAACACAGAAAAACTTCATAAATCAATATTTGGTGGAATAATGATGAGGTTTTCAGTGGGGTTCAGTCCACTGGTTTCTTAATATTTTTCAGAGCTGTATATAAAGATATCCTAAGTTTAAAATACAATATCTCACCATCGCCTCCAAACCCAAAAGATGCAGAAAAGAAGTGCAAGTGAACAGCCAACTGTGAAGGAAAAGAAAGAAAATAGATATTTGATAATTTAGCATTTCAGTTACAGAAAATGATAATATTCATTTCAAAGAGGCACTTTCATTCATGTTACCTGCCACGCCTATCAACAGTAGGTTTGAAGGAGGTTTAATTTCTGCAAAGATAAAATAATATTAAAATCAAACCCAAGAGATTTGCTCTTTAGATAAGAGCAAAACTAAAGATGTTGCTCTTTTCTTTAGATCTCAAAATACTCTGGTCTGCAAGTACAAAACAGTGTAGAAAATGGATTTATAAAATTACAGCAAAGATCCAATTAAGTATTTATAAGGAAAAAATCAACATAGTTCAATATGCACAATTCTTTGGAAAACTAATGAAAAATTACTCCTGCTTAGGTCAAGACACATCCACTTATGATTCTCCAAACATGCCATGTTACTTCTGCGATTCTTTCGTAATGCAGTGACTCACCAAGGTCGTCTCCTGACCGGTGATCAATGTAGAAGTTTTCAACTTCTGCATTGTTTGAGAAATCTATAATTTATTTACTGCTGAGGTACACAGAAAATTCACTTGATTGTGATACAAAAGAAAAAAGAAAAAGAACTGGTGGAGTGAAAAATTTTTGATTAAAAATTTGCTTTCCAACTTCGTTTAAAAATACATTTTAAAAATTTTTTAGAAGAAAACTTTTGATACTTTTTAATAAAGTGGATGCTGATGCACTGCTTGTAGTAATAGTTTCATCCGATGATATTTTGTAGACTTTAAATGACAAAGTCAGCATAACTCTTGTTTATTTCCTAATTTGAATAAAATACATGTTTCTTCAAAATACCCCAAAACTCCCTAGTAAGGCTGTTACCCCCACGACCCGACTCAATATATAGATGTGGTCAGGAAATCTTTAAAGGGGACAATTTATTTTTTGTTGAACTTTATGTAAATATATATTGTCCTCCAGTGAATGTGACAAAAGTAAAATAAAAATGCAAAAATATTCTTGTTACGTATTTTCAAGAAAATCCAAGATCATCCAACTTCCCCATGCTGGAGATTTTAGTTAACAGTAACAACAAATAAAGTTACCTTTAAAATTAGTCACACAAGTGATATCTAGATCCAACAGTATTCCCAGACTGCAATAAAGTAAATCTGCACAGTGAAAATGCCAGTGCTGAATTAGCACCCACAGTGTTAATTTTAACACCCACAAAGTGTCTATATGTGTCCAAGTCAGCTGGTGTTGAAGTAACACTTTTCAAAGTGCTAAAAGGTTGACACCCATTTTTTGTTAAATTAACACCAGATATTGTTAATATTCAACAATACTGAGTGTCACATTAGCATTACAACAATGTTAGTGTTTGAATATAATGTTAAAAGTAACACCAGTGTAGTGTTAACCTCAACACATTATGTCGTGTTGAAAAGGTAAATAATTGACCCCACAAAGTGTCAATATCAACCAAATCCAGTACTAAAAAATATTCAAAACAATACACAGAAATGGAAAGTTCAAATTTTATTAAACCCATTTCAGTATTACATAACTTTAATGCACAGCTCATACAAAAGTTGAAGAATTCCTGTGCTGAACCTTATAAATGTTGCATGTTGGCATAAATAAGTGTTGTTAATTGTCACTCTGATTTCATTGACTCTGGGGCTCTCCTTTGTTGTTGACACATCAATCCCATAAACTGTTGTTTGGATGAATGTGTAGAAGTTTAGAAGAGTTACATCGTAGGACACAGCAAACACAAAGTGCGCCTTAAAAAGTTCATCGAAGGCAGCCACTGCAGTCTTTGCCACACAAGGAATGGGCTTTTGATCAAGGATGATGTAGAACTTCTGAATACTGCTCTTCTTCTCTACAACGCAGAGGAGGAAGGGCTGTGCAGATCCAACTTTGTCATGCTTGTCCTCACCTAATATTAAAAGACAGCACATTAGAAATAATGGCTTTAGTCCCTCACTAGCAACAAATTAAGAACATTTTCCACCTTCCTTTAGCTGTGAACATGCCACGAAAGAGGATGTGACTTGCAAGGAAACTCCTGTGAGCTTAAGTGAAAAGGTCAGTTCTAATGGACTCATACAATTCTTTGTGCCATTATTTTCCCATAACCAATTTTCTGTTCCATGTTGTCATAAAATTAACCCTGATCTCACCCATAACTTCCAAAAATAACTATAAAATTATAATACAAATAACACCAAATAATGACTTTACATTTACAGTCTTGTAAAAGTGAGATCAATTTACGTTAAGTGAAGCCCAATAATTCATGTCAAAAACATACCTTCATGAACTTCACAACACGATCAGCTGCCTCAGTTGCACTAATTTTGACATGTTTCTTCCCTTTGGTGGTTGGAGGCAAGAGATGAACCAGCAGGAGAATGGCTGCCAAGTCGCTATCCCATTCTGATAAAGTCAGAACAAGCCATGATTAGAATGCAAACATAGAAAAGACAGTTGAACATATTTATATATTAATACATACCATAATCGCTTGATTCCTCCTGAGCAGACAGAAGGTCATCCAGGTGAATGCTCTGTCGAATGTTTTTGCTGACAGTGATGACCTTGGGTTTGTAGAACATTGGCCATCTTGCAATAAACTTCCCCGAGATGTCTTCTCCAAAGAGCATGATGAAGTCCTGTCCAACCGTTTGCTAAGTTAGCTTTTTAGATAACACACTTCACCAATATTTCAAATAATACAGATATAGAAGTCTTATCCATGGTTTAAAATGACAACTAGACCTTACCAAATATAACAGAATTCAAATTTACCGTTCGCCTAGATATGACAAAAGGACGGGAGCTTGAATTTGGTGGATTTCCCATTCAAAATGGGTTAAATATCGTACACTCTTTCAAGTCTCAAACTTAAAACCACATTTCCAACGAAACAATGTTTGAATACAAATATTTAACTCACCTTTAGGAAAGAATTATGTCCTTCGTGTAAGAAATGTAGCCGTACTGAGAGACTGACTGGTGGCGTGATGACAGAAAGTAGCACGTGCTCTGCAGCCGTTACGCGAAGGCGGGGCTTAAGCAACACCAACCAATTAACACTGGAATTTAACAACGCAAATATTACGGAATTTATTCTGGCAGTGTTCATTTAAAGCTGCGTGGTGTCAAAACAACACACACTTTTTATTTGACACTACACCTGAGATTTTAACACTGGCATTTTTACTGTATTCAGACCCCAAAGACAAAGATGAAGACCCCAAAGGAAAAGATGGGATTCGAAACACCAAAGTCCGTCCGTCTCTCTCAAAGGTTCCCTTTTTAGTTCTTAGTATCAGTGTTAAGGAAAGATAGGCTAGATGATTGATTTTACTTATTTGATTATTTCTGCCACTTAATTAAGCTGTACTGACCCTTGCAAAATTGCTTTACTAATGAAAAATTTAGCATGAAGAAAATCTAAAAGACATTAAATTAATGAGTCACTTCAAAGTTCTTTGATGGTAGTAAAATAGCTGTGATGTTTGATTCTGGGGAAGAAAAGTAGGTAATGTTTTATAGGTTGCTTTAGCCCAAATTTAAAACAACATCCTTGGGACTCGCCTGAGTCACTAAAACCAACCTGATTCAGAAACAAGTGCAAGTTATAAAAAAAGAGAAGGAGCGACCGTTAACACGTTAACAGATGTCCTCTGTGAAACTAGTTGGCTGTAGGCTGCTCAGTCTGGCAAATTCACAGGGGGAAGAAGGGTGAGACATCTGGATGTAGGTCATAGAAATTATGCGAATCCTTTCTCGAAACCAGCTTAAACAGAGTTTACTTCAGTTCTGGATAGGGTAAATCCCAGCAGATTTGGGAAACTCAATTGACCCGTTAGATGGAGAGCTGGTAGAACATCTCCCCTCTCAGAAGAGGAAGTAGTGACTGAGAGAGTAGAGAGTGAAGGAAAGGGGTGAAGAGGTGAGGGGGGTTTGTTGCATACATTTTGTTGTATACATTGTTTTGTTACAGGACTAAATGAAACACTTATTGTTGTAATTTTGCCTTTTGTGGTCTATTCTGTGACAAAGGATTCAGCCGCAATCCTCCTGAGTTCATGTCTTCTGCATTTTAACATATTCTAAATATGCACCATGAAGCTAATTTTAATTTGGCATGAACAACACACTTTATCTATAACTGTCATTCATCCACCATCCATTTGTTTTTAGGTTTAGTTCTTAGTAATTACCTATCTTGAAACCTTTTATGAAAAACTTATCTCCTCTAAAATATGTTAGCAAGGCACATTTTGACAAATGATCAACAGGTTAGGGTAAAATAACTTTCATATTCAAGGACTCACTCTTGCAGATTAGATCTGGCTCAGTCCAAGTCCCATCAATGCAGGTTATGATCTCAGAGCCACTTTCTTTTTCAAATCCATTGGCGCACTCATATGTAACTTTGGTACCATCTGGGAAATTCTCTCTTAGGAGGGATTCATTCGTGAGAACCATGTTCTCCACACTTTTAGGTATGGAGCAATTACCTAGGAAAAAATATAAATCTTGCATGAGCCTTGTAGTTGATCAGCATTTCATCTGCCATTACCCAACATTGATGCTGCAGCCTACTAACAAGACCACCAATGCCCCATAAAGACTTATATAGTAATCGTAGATTTTCAATGTTATTAATTTTGTTCAACTAAATAACTTGAGATCATGTTGTCAACCATTTCCTTCCCTTTGTGATCACTCCTCTGCTTTCAGTTCTCTATAAAGCTAGGATTATTGTTGACAATTTGAACCTGCTTGGGGACCTACAAATATTTGTGGGGATTGTTCTGCATGCACCATCTTTCACTCAAACTGTATGGTTGCATTTCAACTCATTGTATGATTACAGAGCAGGTTGATCTTTACCAGCATTTCTATGAACCCTCTCTGAGGATTCATTTCTGAAGAATCAGGGATGGATGTTTTTATTTTTTAACTGGCCACATGGGCTGGTAAAGAAAACTTTTCATTGTCGACATAAACATTTCACAAGCCACTGTTTTCTTACCACATTCCATGCTAAGTGGCTCTCATTGTGCTTATCAGGAACCTAAAAGCTACAGAAATAGCTTGACATATTTTTCCAGATTGATAAATATCAGAGATGTTGTCTTCTCTTCTTAAAATAACTTAGAACAAGTCATAATATGTTGCTTTTTTAGTTCTTCATAGACATGTTGACTGGGAGTCTCAAAGTATATTTGATGTTTCTTATTAGTTCGGTGTGAAATCTACAAAAGGCTGGAAATACAGTGTATATTATTATCCTCTAATGAATGTGTCACAAAGTATAATATAAACACAATAATAAACTATGATGAGATTTGTGCTTTTATTGTACATACATTGATTTGTGGTTGAGCTTTGTAGTTGACTTTCATATATAAAACCACAACTCCCAGGACTATTATATTACTGAGGCACATTATTGAAAATATTGTAACAAGACATTTTAATTTCTCTTCTTTTACAATTTCACTGCAAGAACAAGAGTAAGTTTGTTTCATTTACGGAAGAATATGTAGGTAAAGAACCATCTGGGAACGTGAATTATGAACGAGCTAGGGCTGTAAATATTATATCACTCATAATTTGTTTATTCTTAACACTTATTCCCATTCAAATAAACAGTAAAGACAGAGAATTTGCATTTTAACTCATGCTATGGTTTGATTTTTTGATCATGTTAGAATTCCGATGAAACTTGTTCAAAAACCTGTAAAATTAATAACAATTAACCATTAGCCATGTTGCAGTAAGGGTTTCATCTCAGGATGTATTATTGTTAGTTTTATACAGTGGTGAAATGATAGGTGGGACAATGAGCTAATTTACAAGTAGTGGAGAGATGATTTGTGTTATTCACAAATGTGTTTGCAAGCTGTTTGTATTTTGTCTCAGCTAACTGATCTTCTATCAAGCCTGAAAATAAGCACAAGAACTTACGGACACATCGTGGTGGCTCAGAATCATATTCAGCATTTTCAGTACACGTAATGGTTTCATTCCCAACCAAGGTGTATCCTGCGTCACATGTGAAATGTATACTTTGCAGATATTCTGGTTCACGGTCACTATTCCAAGAATGTTCGCCATTTTCCACTTTGATCGGTTTGGGACAGAAAACATCTGAAAAAAAAGGCAAAAAAATAATAATAAAAAAATTGCTGTTTCAATCAAAGTCAAAGTTTTTTTATATTGCTCATTTTTAACAGCCTCAGCAGAACAAAGTGCTTCACAATAAACACAACATCGAAACACAAAATCAAATGAAATTACGTTTAGCAAAAATAATAATTATAAAATTTGCAAATTTTCAAATGTATGAAAACCAAAACTACATAATTTTAGATGAAGCAATTTACCTCCGTCCTTCCATTCCAGGCACAAAGTGCTTCAGTAAACTGTGTTGAGAAAAGAGAGAATATTTCAAACTGATCAACACTTACAGATACAGTCTGCGATTCCAAACCATCCTTCGTCCACGCACTGTTTGAAGCTTGCTCCACTGACCCGGTAGCTGCATAAAGACAAAGGAAGTTATAAAGACTTATGCAATCTGTTGAGCCATGAATAAAAAATTTTAGTTTGCGAGTCAGATTTAATTTTCTATTTACTCTTTTGGAGTCATAGTTTGCTGACAGGATCCAAACGCCCCGTCTTTTCAGGAGGACATAGGCTATATTTCTTCCCAAACTAACAATGGCTATATAAATTTTATAAAAGAGTAAGGTTTCTGTTTTAAAGAATAATTGTACAGCACATACACACACCTACTTATAGCATGTTGCTTAATGTCATAAAGGGGAGGAAAAAACTAATAAAAAAACACTTCTGCAGTTGACAAAGCAGGGTTTCCACCAGAAAACGTCAGAGCCCAGTGGTAGGGGCACCCAGGCGGTCAATTGTGTTTTTGTGTCAGAGGATGTTAAGCTGACAGAAAATTTAAAAATATGAAATGTTACAGGAAGATATCACCAGTGAAATGCTATTTACACCAACAGCAATAGTCTTACAAGCAACAAAACAAAAAAATACAATTAAAATGAGAAAAAGTAAAGCCTGGCAAACCGCACAACTTATAATAAACTGGAGGAAACGCTGCAAAAGAATAAAGGATTACCATAAGTGCTAATTAATAACACAAAATAGGAAAATTTGAGGTAATATCAGCGTTTTAACAAGTTTTCTGCCAAAAAAAAGAGCAACAGATAATTTTGTGTTGATCAGCATTATATGAAAATAGGGTAGACAACATAAATAAGTTGCTTTTCTCATGCAGCAGTTAGATGGAAGGAGAGTGAAAAACCTCTCAGTGGTGGCTGTGGCAGCATCAATCAATACAAGAAAAGAGTTACTATACGATTATTGATGTGTGGATCGGAATTTTCTGAAATAAAATACTGTAGTCGAAATAACAACACATGAAACATAAGTTTTTAAATATTATTGTATTAATATTGATAGACTTACATGGACTATAAATAATTACAAACTAACCTCAGCTCTTATAACAAGAAATTATATAACAACTGGTAGAATGGCACTGGAGATAAAAATAGTTCCTCAGCTGAGTTCACCTACCTTTAGCACCCTTGAGAAACAGTGAAGTTACCACTCTTACACAAGGTATGCTCCATTAAGTGTGAAGAAAGTAGTCATTTTATGTCTTAAATATCAGGAATGTAACCCAGTTGATTAACTCAGATTTATTTTTACTGAACATTCACATATAAAAACAACTGAACTGAAATCATGAAGCTTGAAATTTGTATAAAACGCTGCTGTGAAGAAATGTATAAACAGCTCATTACTCAGTTCAACTCTATCAATTTTCTATTTAATCTCAAATTTTACTAATCCACACAAACATTTCACCAGCCACTTTTTCTCCCTGTGTGCAACATCATCGCTGAGCTATTTCAGAGAACCTACATCACATTCCATTTTTTCTACATTGGATGTAAGTGTCTCTCATGGAGTATTACAGTTTAAAAGCCTCAGAAATAGTTTAAAATGACTTAAATCAGGTCATAATGTGTTGGTTATTTAAAATCTTTATAGCAATGTTGTAAGGGAGTTTCACACACTGTTGCTGATATATTGGCCCATTCTTCCATGCATATCTCCTCTAGAGCAGGAATGTTTTGGGCTCTCGCTGGGCAACACAGACTTTCAACTCCCTTCAATGGTTTGCTATGAGGTTGAGATCTGCAGATAGAAATGCTTCTTACGAAGCTACCCCTTTGTTTCCCTGGCCATGTGTTTGGGATCACTGTCATGCTGAAAGATCAGCCTATGTTTCATCTTCAATGCCCTTGTTGATGAAGTTTTGCAACCAAAATCTCATGATACAGGGTCCCATTCATTCTTTCATATACAAAGATCAGTCATCCTTGTCCAGTTGCAGAGAAACAGCTTCAAAGCATGATGTTGCCATCCCCATGCTTCACAGCAGGTATAGTGTTCTTTGGATGCAACTCAGCATTCACTCTCCTCCAAACACAACTCAAGTTTATACCAAATTGTTCTACTTTGGTTTCATCTGACCATGTGACATTCTCCCGATGCTGTTGTGGAACATCCAAATGCTCTCTAGTAATCTTCAGATGGGCCAGGATATGTACTTATAAGCCACATGTTGGTGTGCTCCTGGGCAAGGCACATAACTGACAAATTGCTTTCCAGGCTGTGTATCGGTTTACAAATGTGTGAGCATTTATGAATGCAAATGGGTGAATGTAACTCTAATGTAAAGCGCTTTAAGTGGTCAAATGATTGGAAAAGCTGTATATGTTCAGCCCATTTACCATTTTCCATCTGAAATTTTTGATGCATGGAGTGAGATCCTTCTTGGATCCCTAATCAAGCGGTATTATCAGTAGTTTTGAATGTCTTCCATTTTCTCATTACTGCTCCCACAGAACAATACAAGCACAATAACAAACAAAAATAATGCTGGATATGTATTTTTTTTTTTTTAAAGAGAGTTTCATAGGGGCTGCACAGTGGAGCAGTTGGTAGCAATGTTGCCTTGCAGTACAAAGGTCCTGGGTTCAATTCCCAGCACGGCGTCTTTCTGCATGGAGTTTGCATTTTCTCAATGTACATGCATGGGTTCTCACCGGGTTCTACGGCTTCCTCCCACAGACCAAAAACAACTTTCAGGTAAATTGGTCTCTTTAAATTCTCCCTAGCTGTGTGTGTGTGCATGGTTGTTTATGTTGTGTGAAGAAGAAAGTCACACTTGTGTCTTCTTTTAAGTTTTTCATGTTATTTTCTTCAGTAGATCTTGATGGAACTGCCACACCACCAAAGGTGAGTAGGTGAGCAGGATTTTTCAATTACTTTAGATTGTTTAACACCTTGCAGTGTGAAAGTGAACCATACCAGCTAAAATGTAACACATGTTGTAATTTCAGTCTTCAGTCCCCAATTGAACTGAGTCGACTGGACTATCAGGTGTGAAAAGACCCTTAATTGAGTTAATGCAAGTCACCACATACACTTAATTTTCTGAGATAACACAATAACATTTAAACAGATAATAATGAAATTTAAATACTTGGAATCATACATACCCTTCTTCACAGATTACTGTAGCCATTGCACCAAGTAGAGTACCCTGGCTGGTTTCAAATGACATGTGCGGTTTTGCTTCTGGGACACCACAGTCTGACCCTTTGATATAAAGAAACAACAAAAACAAAACAAACAACCAAAAATTATTATTGTAGGATTACATAAACCCTAGATGACCATGAAAGGCATGATGGATGACTGTTTGTTAGATGTAAAATGCAAGTTAAACAAGACTCACTCTTGCAGATGATATCTGACTTGGTCCACTTCCCATTGACACATCTATTGATTCCAGTGCCACTTATTTGATCACTCCCATTTATGCACTGATATTTGATCACAGTACCACTTGGAAAAATGCTTTTAAGGAGGGACTCAGCAGAGAGAACTGTGTTCTGTACATGTTGAGGTTTGGAACAGTCAGCTAGGAGGACATGAAATTGAAGAAAAATCACACACAAACACATACACACATAAAAGCAACGCTGTTGTTGTGGTATTTGGTTATTGAAAAATTATTCTAAAAAATATGTTTAAGAAACAAATTAGGTGAAACTTATATTTGAACACAAAATGTTAAATATTAGGACATGATGTTTGCGTAAGCGCAAAATTTCTGTATGTAAACAATGGCATGCAAGGTGTCTGCATTTATAAATCTGATTAAGTCAGTGCTTCACCAGCTATGAACCTAACTGGACGTCCTGGGAATCAGGGAAGGAAATTTAGCATGTTCTCCATTGCTCACAGTGGCTGGTGAAGAAAATATTTCATCGACTTTTTCTCCAGCCACTTTTTTTTGTCTTTGTGTTGTCATTCGTTCTTAAAATTACTTTCATCATGTTACAATGTGTTGCTTTTTTAGATATTTATAGCCACGTTGTCAGGGAGTTTTGACATATATTTAATGCTCATTATCAAAAGAGGGGGCAATAATTTTCATAGAACTTATAAATATACATTTTACTTCAGTGATTTTGTCACAAATTACAATATACGCAGAATAATAATCAATTTTTGGATTATGATTGTATTATATACACTTTGAATTGTGGTTGGGATTTTTAGCTCTATTATATAAACAACCACAACATTGTTATTTTTTTTGGGACGTGGGTTTTCGGCACATCATTGAAAATATTGCAACAAAAAATTCTAACTTCTCCTCTTTTACAATTTCATTGCAAGAACAAAAGTAATTGTCTCTTTTATGAAAAAATATGTTGTGAATGGCTCATCTGGGAATGTGCATTGCAAACCAGCTAAAGCTATAAATGTTATAGTGTTCATAATTTGTTTATACTTAACACTTGTCCCCATTAAAAATAAAACAATACAGAAAAAAAACATCTTTTACTTTTTTGATCACGTTAGAAATTTAATGACATTTGACAAAAACCTATGAGATAAATCAAAAAATAACTGTTAGTCATGATGTTGTTAAGTTTCCATCTCAGGATGGATCATTGTCAGTGTTATACTGTGGTGAAATGATAGGCTGGACAATGAGCTAATTTACAAGTAGTGGAAAGACGATTTGTGTTATTTGGAAGCTGTTTGTATCTTGTCTCAGCTAACTGATCTTCTATGAAGCCTGAAAAAAAGCACAAGAACTTACGGACACATCGTGGTGGCTTAGAATCATATTCACCAGATTTAGTACACGTAATGGTTTTATTCCCAAACAAGGTGTATCCTTTGTCACATCTGAAATGTATAGTTTGTCGATATTCTATTTTACGGCGCATAATCAAAGAATGTTTGCCATTATCCATTCTGGGTGGTCTGGGACAGGAAACAACTGCAAACATTGGCAAAAGAAAAAGAAAATTGCTGTTTAAGGTACAAAATACTTCAATTGAGAAAAAAAGAGAATAATTTAAACTGAACAGAGCTAAAAATAACTGTTAGTCATGATGTTGTTAGGTTTCCATCTCAGGATGGATCATTGTCAGTGTTATACTGTGGTGAAATGACAGGCTGGACAATGAGCTAATTTACAAGTAGTGGAAAGACGATTCATGTTATTTGCAAGCTGTTTGTATCTTGTCTCAGCTAACTGATCTTCTATGAAGCCTGAAAAAAAGCACAAGAACTTACGGACACATCGTGGTGGCTTAGAATCATATACACCAGTTTCAGTACACGTAATGGTTTTAGTCCCAACCAAGTTGTATGCTGTGTTACATGTGAAACGTATAGTTTGTCGATATTCTGGTTCAAGATCATTATTCCAAGAATGTCTGCCATTTTGCACTCTGGTCGGTTTGGGACAAGTGACAACTGCAAAAATTGGCAAAAGAAAAAGAAAATAGCTGTTTAAGGTACAATATTTTTTAATTGAGAAAAAAAAGAGAATAATTGAACAGAGCTAAAAATAACTGTTAGTCATGATGTTGTTAGGTTTCTATCTCAGGATGGATCATTGTCAGTTTTATACTGTAGTGAAATGACAGGCTGGACAATCAGCTAATTTACAAATAGTGGAAACATGGTTTACTTTATTTACAAGTGTATTTGTAAACTGTTTGTATGTTGTCTTAGCTAACATATTTTCTATAGATTCTGAAATAAAGCACAAGAACTTACCAATGCATTTTGGTGGCTCAGGATCATATTTGCCCATTCTATTGCACGTAATGGTTTTACTCCCATGCAAGTTGTATCCTGGGTCACAAGTGAAATTTATACTTTGTTGATATTCTGGTTCACGGTTACTAGTCCAAGTATGTGTGCCATTTCCTATACTCGGTATGGAACAAGTAACATCTGGAAAAATTGGCAAAAGAAAAAGAAAGTTGCTGTTACAGGCACAAATTACTTCAGGTGAAAAAAAAGAGAGAATAATTTATACTGAACAATACTCACATACACAACGTCCATCTCCATACCATCCTGTGTGGGTGCAAAGTATTACGTTCGATCCATAGAGCACGTAACTGCATAAAGTCAAAAGAAGTAATAAAGACTAATAGAATCTGTTTGACCATAAGAAAAGTTCAGCTGGTGAATAATATTTAATAATTAAAGATTATACGTCTAATTTTACATTTTCTATTTACTTTTTCACACAGAATCAGTTTTCTGATGGGATACAAAAAAAAAACCTCCTCTTCTCAAAATAGAGAAGGTTTCTGCTTAGCGATGGCTATATAATCTTTTTTATGAAAGAGAAACTTTTGTTTTTCTTTAACGTAAAATTGCACAACATGGATTCACATCTCTCCGTGCTGCTGATGTTGCATCCTTGAACATAGAGAGCAAGAATCAGGATAGTTATGTTAACTTGCTTCTCTCATGCAGCATTGTAATGCAGTGAGACATAAACATGTTGTTCACTGTCAAAGTGGAGGGAAAAAGCTAATTACATAAGCAAAGTAATAATAAACTGGCAAATAAAGAATACATTTTTATATTTCTGCAAAATAAAATGACTAAAGGCAGGTTTCTAGTTTCTGCCATTAGATTAACATTACAAAATACATAACTGACTCACAGAAAGATTATGTCTAACAACTCATAAAACAAACAAACAAACAAAAAACAACCCTCTTCTGCAGTTCACAAAAGAATAAAGGATTACCTATAAGAGCTAATTAATAACACAAAATAATACAATTTGGTTAAATATCTGCATTTTAACAGTTTGTTGCAGACAAAATGTCAACATAGGCTTCTATCTTCTACTATTAGGTTATTTTTCAGACTACAAATATGTTTGCATTAGCTTTACAAAAAGACTGGGAGGAAGGAACAAAGCATGCTCCTAAGTTGCTTTGTTGCATGCAGCAGATTGATGGAAGGTTAGGAGAGTGAAAAAGCCCCTCGTAGTGGATGTGTCACTATCAATTAATCCAAGAAAAGATTTACTAATTGATTACTAATATGTGGATTGCAATTTTCTTAAATTAAATAAGAAAATTATTTGTCCATCCATTTTTTTTCTTACACCCTTATCCCATCGGGGTCGGGATTGGTGCTGGTGCCTATCTCCAGCTGTCACAACGACTAATCAATTATGAAAAATATGTTTTTAACAAAGTTTGTATTATAGGTAATATTAACAGACTTATTTGAAATATTATCATTGACTGGAAACCTTTTTAATGTAAACTCTTCTAATAATAAATCACATAACTGCATAAAATATGTGCAAATTGCACTGGAGATAGAATAATAGTCCTTCAACCTATTCCAACTGTCTTTAGCAACCATTGCAAAAAGGTCATTCATACTCCCTCATAAGATATGTTTTACTCATGGTGAAAAAAGTAGTCATTTTTAATAATATATTAAATATTTGAATTTTAAATCAGGATATTAGCTCAGATTTTCTTTACTGAAGATTCACACATAAAAAAAGCACTGAATTGCACTCATAACGCAAGAAATTTCTATAAAACGTAAATCTGAAAAAATTATAAACAGCTCCATAAACCTTGTATAACTCAATTCAACTCAGTTAATGTTTCATTTTATGTTGACATATATTTGTACAAATTTTACTGGCTCTAATGTTTTTATTTTTAAATGTGCTGACATATCTAGATGCACATCCTGACAAAAATTTAATTGCTGCATATTACATAAATACTGGTATTGCAGCAATGAACATGTTAGTGTCCCTCATGATTTCGGGCACATTCATACCTAACACATTTGGTCTGGTTTAAACAGATCAAAGTTTGTTTCCCCTGTTGGTCCAGACCTTTTATGGAGCTGTGAATACAGTCATGCAAATCCTGGTGTGAACCAAACAACCAGACTGAGACTAATTTTTTAGGTGATCTCTTGACTTGCAGTAAATTGGCCTCAAAATCTTAGTCTCAGTTTGATTAAAGTGAAATCTGGAACAATTTTTTTAGGTTCTCCGCTTTCAAACAAATTCTCGTACAGTTCGCCTTGGGTGCAAACCAAATACATGAAATATGCATCTTTTTAGACTACATAATTCCTTGTTGGTCGGTATTATGGTAAAAATGAATACATCAGAGTTTCCTGCACTTCCATATGTGGTGATTTTAATGAACTTGTACCTGTTCTCCTGTTTTCTGCTTAGCAATGCTGTTACCAGTTTGTGTTGGGTCAGCGCAGGTGGAACAAACACATTTGCAAATTCTGTTTCAAAATGAGAAATATTCCTGTGTCAAATGAACTGCTGTTGATGTTCTAAATTATATTGCTGTTATTTAAATAGGAGAAGTGTGGATGCACATCTGGACACACCAAGAAAGCAAACTCTGAGCTGCCTCAAAATCTAGGACTCAGTTTGATTAAAGGGAAATCTGGAACAATTTGTATGTGGATGCAAGAGGACTAGTGATCATTTAAAAAGCAAGAAGGGAACCATGGCGCAAGGCACAATTGGTAAATATAACCAAAATAAAAGGAAGAAATGGCTCATGATATATTTCTAAAAACAAGAGAAATCTTAGAAGCACATTTTGTTTACATTTTGTGAAGAAGAAAGATGCACTCATGTCTTCTCAGCTTTTCATGTTATTTGTTCAGTAGATCTGCAAACCACCACAGGCAATGGGGTGAAAAGGTTTTTCAATTACTTTGAATTGTTTAAAAAAGTACAGTATGAAAGCGAACCACACCATCTAAAATGGAACAAATGTTGCAATTTTGGCCCTCAGTTGAACTGAGCCCAGCAGACTGACGGACATGAAAAGATTGTTTCGAGTTCTTGCAAGTCAAGACATACACTTGATTTTCTGAGACAAAACAATGACATTGAAGCAGATAAACTAATTTAAATATTTGGAATCATACATACCCTTTTTCACAAGACATATAAACCGATGCACCAAGTAGAGTCCCCTGGCTGACGTCAAGTATCATGTGTGGCTGTGTTTTAACGGGACCACAGTCCATCGCTTTAATATAAAAATACCACAAAAATAAAAATACAAAAGAACAACAGTCACCAGTGTGATATTATCTTGATCCAAGATGACAATGTAAAGCATGTTAGATAACTGTTTTTGTCAGATGTAAATTGCAAGTTAGACAGGACTCACGCCTGCAGGTGATGTCTGGCTTGGTCCACTTCCCATTGACGCAGGTCATCTCCCCAGTGCCATTTACTCGAATATATCCAAGAATGCACTTATAATTGATCACAGTACCATCAGGGAATTCTTTTATTTTAAGAGATTCCGCTGTGATCTCTATGTGTACTCTATTTGTAGGATTTTCACAATCAGCTAGGAGAAAAGAAAAATGACACAAAGACACATAAAAGCAAAGCTGTTATTGTGACTTTGGTTATTTTAAAATGACTCTCCAACATAAGTTGAAAAATATGTTAGTTGAAGTAGGACTGGGGCATATGAGGAAAATCTAATATCCTGATATATTTTTGCTATGTCACGATACACAGTATACAATATTCTTAAATGAGCTGCAATGTTATTTCAATCTGGGGAGAATTTGACATACAAATTAAGAGTCTTTGGCACAGGGGCCCCAGCTGAGGACATCAATTATCACAAACTTTCCGATGGGCTCGGATGAGCATTCCGTATGCTGAGAGGAACGTTATCCCCCCGGAACCCGACAGTGGTGGTGGAGGCAATGAAGGATGTGGCCGAATGGCTGAGCAAGTGGAGGTGAAGGGGTGGAGGTGGGTTGAGCTCTGCTGGAAGCGGGAGACGCCATGGATGATGGTCCTTATCAGCTGGAATATGGGCGGTGATTGGATGTGACGCATCTTGGACCAGCGTTGATTAATCAGTGGTGATGAGCATGCTGCACCGGTTGGGGTTAGAAGAGTCTTCCAGTTTGAATTTGCACCTGGGCTTCATTTTATAAATCCCTTGCAGCATGATGTCACACACACACACTTTACCGCCCCCATTTCCCTGCTAGACTTAAATGTAAGCTCATAAAAAATTGATTCAGTATTTTGCGTAGAACTAACAGCAGATGGTAGCAGTGAGCTTCAGGTTCTGTAAACGGCTTTGATTACAGAACTAGTGAGGGGGCAGTGAAATGCTAATGTTAAATCCACCCATATGTTCAATATTAACTGCATGTTTTTAAATGCTGACGTCAGTAATTCCTTTTTAAGTCTCCAAATTCTTTTGGATAGATATTGATGCTCTGTACCAATTACTTTTTTCTAAACTTTATTGTGTCTTATGTACATACATCTATAGTAGATTGTTTTTTATCAGTACTTTTGACTCGGTAGACATTATAGATCATATGACGAACAAGTTAACTGCGAACGTCCAGCAAATGTTTTGTCAAATCTTAATAAATGTCTGATGGACGTTTGCTGTTGATTTGACGCTCTGCGTCGTTATGACAACGTTAAGTGGACGTTGTCATAACGTTTAATGCTAGACGGGTAGTTGTTAAAGTTAAGGTTATTTTTAAATAAAAGTGTTCTTATTAGTCAAAGTGACCCTGACATCAAACAAAACGTAATATGTTTTTATATGTGACAACAAAAATTAGTACAATATTATATCTTTGAAGCCGGTTTGGCCGGTGACGTACTGACCTGCAACGTTCCCGATAAATAGGCACAGGATAAGGAGTTTTCTCTGTCTGCCGATGTCAACTAAACCCTTCATAGATGTGGAAGGAAATACAAACCATCCGGATGAAGCTGCCTCTACATCAGTCCAACTTTAGTCATGGAAATGTGGTGTGTAGAGACGCTCCTCACGGTGGAAATGATTCTCCTTCCATTGAAGTCAATTCATTTCTTTAGTTACTAGAGGGAAATGAGGTGAGGTTGAAAAATTTCAAAATAAAAGTCTTGGTTTCCCAACATAAATTACTGTTTTGGAATTCACTAATTCAAACAAACGACTTTCACAAGAATCCTAACCACGAAGCAATTTACATGCTTAATGACATTGTGTAATTAATTGATTTATTAATTCATTGTAATTAATTAATTATCTAATCTCCTGAGTGGAATTTTGGACATTTGTATTTCACTTTGTTTTCGCATACAAACTGATAAACTGATCTTTGATAGATCTCCCTTCAAATTATGCATTAGGAGAGTAACTGATGAACTTTCAATACAGTGAGTTATGTTATTACAATTTAGTAATATGCTTTTATAACATGTTATTGAAAAGAAGGAAGCCACTGCCAAAAAGGTAAATAACATTACAAAATATTTGTACACAACAAATTTGTATTCGTATCGTATCTTTTTGGTAAGGGTAGATATCGTGCTGGTGTCATACTATCGTTATAGAAATAAGTTCAACAATTCACCCTAAGCAACTGAAAACTATTCCTGCAGACACAAATTCCTCTTACTGTAAAAATAGTCTTGGCGCTATTTCCTTTCCATTTGTATCTTCAGTTTTTGTTTTGAGTAAAATAAAAGCTGGATAATCACTTATCCATTCTTACTTTCAATAATAATTTGGTAAGCTAACTGTACTGTGTTGCACTTTGAGCTGAGGTGACGTTACAGCACCTGGTTTATATGCAGTACCACTACAGGGATCACGTGGACCACCACTAGTTCCAGGAACACAGTTTGAGAACGACTGACCAAGATGATAATTAATTCATATCAGTCACTTTTAATTATTTTAATATAATTCTTCACTTATTAAAGCTAGGGTTAGGGTTAGGAGAAAGTGGTTCAATACTCTGAGACTGGTAGTTATTACATTATAAAGAAAAAAAAAACTTTTTATACATCTTTATCGTCACATATGCATGAATTGATACATTGTACACACATTCTTTCATTGTCAAATATAAATTATTTCTTTATCTATTGTTTTTTTTCATCTGAAAATATTACATTTTAAAGATGATTTGTAATCTTTCTCAATAAAATGGTTTGTTAATATTCTGCATACCAGACTAAAAACCCACAGTAAACAATCATGAAAAGAAAGAATCTTCACTATCCTCCAATGCTAACTGTAAACTGTATTAAACCCACTGTATCATTCCTGAACAACTTGGATTATATGTCAGTCCTGATAAAACATCACATAACAGAAAAACCTGGAAACTCGCTGGCGTAACATTTATGAAGACATTTTTTCAATGACTGAAATAATTTAGAACATCAGTAGAAAAAGTGTTTACAACACATTTAGTAGGAGTAAAAGAAATTAAGTGAAATAAAGTATTTTCAATCTTTTAGTAATTAAGTCAGAATAATTATAAAAATGTTCTCTTTGCCTGTGCAGCATATCTTCCCCTTCTCTCATTACTGACTTTCCTGTTTAACTGATCTCACCTAAAGGCCACTACAGCCAATGAAACTGTTAAGAAAACGTGCATCTAAAAATTAAACTTTGAAACAATACAATAGCCTTCATGATATTTAGTTTTCTTCTTTTGAAGTGAAAACAAATATAAGTTGAGAAAAGGGAGACTGCTTGTTTTATCCCAAGGCGCTCAGAGTTCAGCAGTCCTTCATCTGTAGTAAATGTCCCAACAGCTGGGTCCAGTTCCAACTGAGAAAGAAACAGATGAGAAACCAAAGACTAACTGTTTAATCAGAGTTGCATTTTGATTGTGGTGGGGAAAAAATGACAATCGGATCAAGAGCTGTTTCTTCTTGCTTGAATATAAAATCATATTTATACTTAATGATTCACACAGAAAATTACAAGAAGAAAAATGAACAAATTAAAACAGTTTAAACAAGATTGTTTGGTATTGTGATGGTCTGAGCTCAAAAACCAAATGAAATGGATACCTGAATGAAGAAGGATACTTAAAGACTTCGGAACTGAAACAGGATTGTTTGGTATTGTGATGGGTGAAAAAATACATAAAATGAATACCTACCTGAATGAAGAAGGATACTTAAAAAGTGTGGAATTGTAATGGCTCCAACGTCAGCTCTTCTCTAGTGTCATATGAACTATAGGGTCATCAATTAAGAAATTTGTGTAAGAATTATTGGACAGTTCATTTTTTTAAAATAAAAGGTTAACTAATTAATGCATTGTAACTAGCATTTCATGGAATTAAAGGTTAATCATTTTAATAAAAATATTTTTGAATAAAAAAAAATACCAGTCAATTTACAAAATCAAGGCTGCCTTTTACCCAATTGTAGATTAACAAACACTTAGCCACCTTGAAGGAAGCAGTGATCATTGACCAGTCTAAACTTTGTGTCTTGTATCTTCACATCAAGAATAGGTGACAAGAAAAAAAATCCTGAACATCTTTCAGCCTGGCTAAAACTTTATGAGGCAATTTGTAAGGCTTTATGACTCCAGTGAAGTACACAGGCAGTCATTATAATCAACCGTGCAAAACTTAAACTCCTCTATTTCTGATGTCGACGTCGTCAACGTTATGGGGATATTAATTTGTTTGGACAGGAGCCTGTGGTGGTGTTTGCATATACACTCGTGAGTTTTTGTTTGTTTGTTTGTTTTTCTTTTACCAGAAACTGCTGATCTTTCTATATGCAGGGAATTTACCATGATTATGATCACTACTGTTACATCCCTCTTAGAGCCAACATTAAGAGTGTGCGCTACAGTTCTTGCAGATGGAAGTCATCACTGATGGAAGTCATTGATGGAAGAGGCTATTTTCATTGTTGCTGGAGACTTTAATCAGGCCAATCTGAAGATGATTCTCCTTTTATCCATCAGCACGTGGACTTTGCAACCAGAGGTTAGAGTCGCTGTGTCCAGGGCTCACAGCCTGCTACCACATTGCTGTTAGGGTGGCAGGAGGGAGAACACACCTCACCATGTTCTGCCTGCTACCCTCTGGAAAAGTGCAGCAGCTTCAAATGCAGAGCAAGCAGATTCCTCAACAACTTCATCCTTCATGTCATACTAAACTCGTGTTCATTTAATGTTTCATTGTATACATTGACACTTTTTAATTATTATTTATTTTATTATTACTATTGGAGCTTTGCAACAAAAATTTGTTCCCAACATGTACATTTTTATGTGTACAATTGAATGACAATAAAGTCTGTCTCTGTCTACCTCTTTAAATGTGACCTGAATCTAAACAGCAAGGCTGTATTCATCCAATCTGAACGCCAATGATAAACGATAAATGTCACCATTCTGTGTCCTGATACGCATAAGCGGGAAGAAAAACAACAACCATGAAGGACTATAATGAGGATAAAGTTGTTAATGAGCTGGCTCGGGTCAGACAGCAACTTCAAAATTGCAAAATATGCTCCATTAGCACCAACTTCTGTTTCCGCAAGCAGGTTCTATGTGTGATGTTATTATGCCTTCTGCTTCGCATGCGGGACAATTTCAGGTTGTTTGCAGTTCGAACTGGAGATCACATACAAGTCATATATTGGGAAGTGTATGTCGTGCCAAAAAAAAATTCTGATTTCACAAAAAAAAATCGGGATTCGGTTACTTCAAGTTGCTTTGCAAATTTTTTGTCTTCATAATTCAACGCTTTGAAATTGCGCTTCTGTCTCTGAAAACTCAGGAGGTGATCACAACATTGCTCCTGTTTTAACCCCATAGTGTTTTCAACAGTGTTGCAATGAGATGTAGTTTGTATAATGAGCCCAGCAGGTTTCCAGTTCCATTGAGTGTTTGCTAATTGTTGCTAGTTTGAAGGAGCTGACTTGGGGAGTCATGGGGGTGCTCTGTGAGGCGGAAGCTACACCTAGATAAGGAGGAGCTCTGCCGCCGTTCCCTAGACGTTTTGCAAAGCTGAATGGTCGCCATGGGAGATTTAAGGATTTCTCAAACATGCATGAACGAATCAGGTCAACAAACCAGGTACATGTTTGATGATGGAATGCAATTATAACAAGGTGGAAAGATCAAAAAAGTCAGAAAACATTAGGCTAGGGAAAAAGAGAAAAATTCATTCATGGTTCCAAAAACTATAAAAGCAACCTCTACAGGCATAATGAAGTATCATCACTTTTTGTGAAGGAAATTTGCAATCTTCTGTTCCACACCAAGAAGAGACATGTCATATTGAAAGGCAATAAAAATAGAATAGGGGCAACAACAAGCTGAATAAAGGTACGGTATTCTAATGTTACATGACAACGAACTGAGAACGTGCCTGGTTACATTCCTTCAGTTTTTCCAAAAAAGTAAAACACTTCAAACTTTAAACATAGAATGAATAGCTCAATACAGACTTCTATATTTTATCCATAAGCTATATTTCACAACAGCTTCATCCCTCATACCATAAGACTGCAAAACTCCCATTAATTTAGCATTTTATTGTTGTATTAAGTCCCTTTAATGTTAAAAGAGACTTAGTGTTTCATAAACATATTTATCTTTACATATGAATTCTACATATACTATACATATTCTCCTATTGTCAGAAATAGAAGATTTTTTTAATCTTATTTAAAAATGTTTCATTTTAAGAATGATGATTTGAAATCTTTCTCAAAAAATGGTTTGTTATTGTTCTGTATAGTAGACAAAAATGCAACAGTAAACGTTCATGAAAAGAAAGAATTTTCACCAGCCACCATTGAAGTTTGTAAACTGAATTAACCCCATTGTGTTGTTCATGGACAACTTGGATTATGTATCTGTCCTTATAAAACATCACAAAACAGAAAAACCTGGAAACTTGCAGGCTTAATAGTCATCAAGAACTCTAAGATGCGTGTTTTTTTTAATGATTAAAATAATTTCTAACTTAAAAAGAAAAAAAAATGGTTCACAACGTAATTAGTAGAAACAAACAATAAATATTTTCAAATTTTTACTAACTTGGTAAAACCAATTAGTGTATAAAACGGTACAGAGGTCAAAGGCTTATCCAAGGCTTGGTAAGGCGCTCAGAGTTCGGCAGTCCTTCATCTGTAGTAGATGTCCCAACAGCTGGGTCCAGTTCCAACTGAGAGAGAAACACACATAAGACACTAAGGAGTAACTGTTTAATTACAGTTGCATTTTCATTGTGGTGGGAAAAAAAAAAAAAAAGACAACAGGATCAAGAGCTATTTCTTCTTGCTTCAATATGAAAATCATATTTATACTTAATGATTCACACAGAAAATTACAAGAAGAAAAATGAACAAGTTAAAACAGTTTAAACAAGATTGTTTGGTATTGTGATGGTCTGAGCTCAAAAACCAAATGAAATGGATACCTGAATGAAGAAGGATACTTAAAGACTTCGGAACTGAAATATATCCAGGGATTACTATCCTTCAGAGTCATCTGAGCTATAGTGTCAAAAGATAGAAAATTTGTGTGAGAATTGTTGGACAGTTCATTTTTATCAAACAGTTAACTGATTTAATGCATTTGTAACTAGCATTCCATGGAATTAAAGGTTAGTCATTGTAATGAAAATATTTTTGAACAGAAAAAATATACAAAAGTATTATAAACCAGTAAATTTAGACAAAATTAAGGCTACCTTTTAACCAATTGTATATTAGCAAACACTTAGCCGCCTTGACGGAAGCAGTGATCATTGTCCAGTCTAAACTTTGTGTGTTGTCAAAAAAAATCCTGAACATCTTTCAGCCAGGCTAAAAGTTTACGAAGCTATTTCTAAGGCTTTATGACTCCAGTGAAGTACACAACCACTTATCAATCCAGATGTTTGTTTTTTCTGGTTTTTACAATTTCCAATGAAATCCTAATTTCAATGTTTTGTCTTTTTTTTTTTTTTTTTTTTTACTTTTTGTTCAGGTATTTTTTTTATTTTTATAAGTGGTTTGATGATAATAAACATTTGTGCAAATAATAAGAAATCTGTAAATGGATTGTATTTAGTTTCAAGTAAAGAATCTCAAACATTATTACATAGTAGTTAATGTGCTTTTTTCTCCTTGGCAGTATGTTTTACTTTCACCCAGTTACACAGACATTAACAGCTAAATTTTAACCTGCCTCAGTGTTTTTACATTAGTCTGTTATTAAAAACCAACAAACACCATAAAACACTTGAAGTTGAATGCTTGTACATTGTTTCAGGGATTTTCAGTTAATTTAACAATAAAATGGAATCAAAGTGTTCAACTTTACCGTGTATTTACATGTAAACATGCAGAAGTTGAAGGGAGAGAACATGAAATAGGGAAAAGGAGCAAGACGAAAAGCTTAAATGTTTATATACAGCTCTGGTAAAATATACAGCTCTGGTAAAATGAGAGATCATAAAATGATCAATCTCTTTGACTTTAGTTTTTTACATGTTTGAGTAAAATGAACATTGTTCTTTTATTTTATGAACTACTGACAACATTTCTCTGAAATTCCAATCAAAAAGTTAGTATTTAGTTGCAGAAAATTAGATATGGTCAAAATAATAATAATAATAATAATAATAATAATAATAATAATAATAATAATAATAATAATAATAATAATAAAGAGAAGAGAAGAAAATAAGTTTTTTATTTTATTTTAGCAATATATTTATTTATAAAAAGACAATGACAAAACAAATCAAAACAATCATCAGTACAATATCCTACATTTACAAGAGGATTTTTATACTCTAAATTGTTCTGTTTTGAAATGGAGCACAATCTGTCCTCGAAACCCCACAGGTCCACAAAATCTTTAAGGTTGCCTGTTGCTTTGTAAAAACAAAACTCTATCCTCAGTCTGTCTTTCACATTGATTTTCTACACATCAGTAACATTCAATTGAGGTCCAGCCTGCATCTTATTGCGTCGAGTCAAATAGATAGCCATCTTGGCTTCGGACAATAAATAATTTAAAATCCGTGATTTAGAGGCCGTGGCTTTACAATGAGGAACACCAGTAATAAAAACAGAACTGGTAAAAGCTATACTAAAATCATCAAAAAAACTCGCTAGTACAGTGAAAAAGACAGGCAATCGGGCACACTCAGTAAAAACATGAAAAACACTCTTGGATAACCTGCAGAAAGGACACTCATTTACTACGCCAGGACTGATGATCGATAAAAAAGAGGTTGTGGCGATGGCGCCATGCAGTATTCTCCACTGTAGGTCCCCGGTCCTTTTTCGTATTGGGGGCTTATACAATATTCTCCATTGAGGCCGAGAGCCTCTCAGTCTGTCATCCCACACGCACTCGGGTCTTTTGTACAAAGTCTTCTTATTCAGGACTTTTGTGTAGGCTCTGTACAATGTTTTCAATCCTGTCTTACACAGATCCAGGTTCTTCTCCAGGTCTCGAAAGAGGGGACCGCCGTCCTCCTCAAATCCCGGGTCTATAAACAGTTCCGGAAAAGGGTCTGATGGGTCAGGGTGACACTCCTCTGCAGCGTGCTTACGCAGGAGCCGACTGTCCTCCGCCGTCAGGCGCCCCCTTCACTTTTTCCAAAAACTGTCATGTAAATCTCGCTGACCGGACCCCCAGCATCAAAGCGACCTCCTGGCTGTTGTCAAAATCCAGTCCAGCCACCTGGATTAGTCGCCGCAGGGTCACTATCTTGGCCTTAGACAGCATGTCGGTTATGCCCGGCATGCTGCCGTCGGCAACATCTAGACGTGCACCGCACACTAACGGCTCCTCTAACAGCCAATACAAAGAATCACTCGCGCTTGACCTGTGTACCTTAAAAAAGCCACACGATTTAAAAACACTTTGATAAAATCGAGGTATCCCTTTTAACTTTAAAAGATTAAAATCGGTAAAAAAAACAGAGCCGCATCCATCCCAAGAGAGTTCACACGTCTAAGAACACAGCTGGCCACATCTCTCCATACAGGACATCCTGTCAGGTATTTTTGCACAAACTGTAGGCGAAGTGTCGCCGTCCTACTGGCCAGGTGGACAAGGCCAGTGCAGACCCTTCCAGAAGAACTCAACCATCTGCAACTGCACCTCATGAGCAATCCAGATGGAGGGTCCAACACCGCCTGTTTATGCCACAGTTGGGAAGCAACAAGATTATTCAATACGAGCACTCTGCCCCGATACGACAGCTGGGAGTGTAACCACTTCCATTTGAACAATTTGCTTTGTATTTTCTGTTCAACATTTTCCCAGTTTTTGCTCACAATCTCGTCGCTACCCAAAAACACACCGAGGTACTTAAAACCATCCCTTTTCCATATTAACCCTTGAGGGAGAATCAGGGTCCCCGCGGACCACTCACCAACTGCTAAGGCCTCACTTTTGCCCCAGTTCACCCTTGCGGCAGACAAAGTGAAAAAGTCATCCGTAATCTTAGTTAGGGTGCTCACATCTTGTTGGTCTCTAATAAAAACAACAACATCATCTGCATAAGCGGATAAAACCATCTTGTTTGTAAAACCAGGTAAAAGCACGCCTCGAACATTCGAGCGTATATTCTGGAGGAGGGGTTCCAAGGAGAGCGCGTAGAGCATCCACGAGAGCGCGCAGCCCTGCCGGACGCCTCTACGCACCCTAAAAGGAGCACACAGGCTACCGTTGACCTTCAACACACTCTCAATGCCACTATACAGCACCTGGATCATGGCGATAAGACCCTCGTGTGTTCAACGTGATCAAACGCCTTTTCTTGATCTAATGAAATCAAGCCAACCTGTAATCCCAATGAACCAGAGACTTCCAAAACATCCCGAATTAGGTAGATGTTATCTACCATGGACCTGCTGGGGACGCAATAGGTCTGATCCCAGTGGATGACCTGCTCCATAGCCTTCTCTTGCCTGACGGCCAGGGCCTTGGAGAGCATTTTATAATCGGTGCAGAGGAGGGACACGGGGCGCCAGTTCTTTATCTCCTGCAAATTACCCTTCTTGGGTAGCAGGGTGATCACCGCTCTGCGGCAAGACAGGGGGAGTGAGCCAGTCTGCAGACTTTCGTTATATACCACGAGCAGATCTTGGGCCAGTAGGTCCCAGTAGGCCTTGTAGAACTCGACGGTGAGCCCATCAATACCCGGGGACCTCTGACCTTTCATGCTCTGGAGGGTGTCATGAAGTTCCTGGAGCCCCAGGGGGCGTTCCAGAGTAACACTGGTCACTTCAGAGACTTGAGGCAGTTTACCACAAAACTCCTCGTACAGTTCCTCATTGTCCTCGTATTCACTATGATACAACGAACTGTAGAACTCCACCACTCTTCTCCTGATCTGCCCCGGCTCACTCAGCTGCTGCCCCGCGTCCGACATCAACCAATGTATCTGCTTCCTCTGCCCGTGTTTCCTCTCCAAGCCGAAAAAAAAGCTAGATGGAGCATCCATCTCTGCGATGTTCTGAAACCGGGATCTAACCAAAGAACCCTGAAACTTGTTCTCCAACAGGTTGGCTAAATCCAGCCTTTTAGATTTAAGAGCTGCAATATGCTCTAGATTTCCAGTGGAGGCACTAAGACGTTCTAACTCCACAATCTTCATCTCTAGATCTCTAATTGATCCGGTGATGTGAGAAGTGGCATTGACAGTGTGTTGTTGGCTCAGCAGTTTTATCTGAACCTTACCATGATCCCACCACTGTTTCAGACAGGTAAAATCAGATTTTGTTCGCCTAAAACCAATCCAAAAATAGCTTAAAACCTCCTTAAAACTAAGGTCATGGGTTAAGACCGAATTAAAATGCCAGTATGCACTTTTAGGCAAAATATTCCTAACGAACACATTGCCTAGCAACAGTGAATGGTCTGTGAAACCAACAGGTACTTTCTGGCACATTCTAAAGACATTAAAATGGTGTTTAAAACAGTAAAATTGATCAAGTCGAGCTAAAGAGATCTTATTTTCTGTGGTGTGAGACCAGGTGTACTGCCTGGAGCCTGCATTGCTCCTCCTCCATACATCCACCAGGCCGTGAGAAGAGACCAGCTGTCGCAAAGCGTGTTGGGCTATTGGATGCGGTTCTGCATGGTTTCGGTCTAAAACATCATTTTAAGTGCAATTAAAATCTCCCCCTATAAAAATATAATCTTCCGACCCATAAGCTCCCAACCTTCCCTCAATTTCCTCAAAAAAGCGCTTTTTTTCCGTATTGACGATGGGAGCACACACATTCATAAAAATTAGAGTAAAAAGATCAAACTTGGCTTTCACCAGCAGACACCTCCCCTGAATAACATGTACGATTTCTGTGGAGTTTGGGGTGAAAGCTCTGGAGAAAAGGAAGCCTACTCCCGCACTTCGTGAAGTGCTGTGACTCAAAATCACCTCTCCTCTCCACTCTCTACCCCAATCTGCGTCCATTCCACATTCACTGTGTGTTTCTTGTAAATAAAGCACGTCGATCTTTTTCTGGTTCATCATCTGATAAATTAAAGCTTGTTTCTCTGCCTCCCTTGCCCCATTAAGATTCAAAGATGCCATCCTAAAGGAATCCATTCTGAGGAAAAGGCTGTAGGAGAAAAACCCCCACAAAGTTATATAAACAAACACGATCTGACCAGTCATCATAAAGACTAAAATTGTTTTCGGACTTTAGACATTATCTTTTTCAATCTAAACACTTCCGTGTCTGAGAAACCGGACAGCTCCTTATTTTTTATACAATAGCGGGCAGAAAAATAAAACATTCTCAAGTTTGGAAAATAACTCTCGATTTTTACACCTTTTAAACCTTTCGTTTGACATAAAAAAGTGCGGACCGACTCAGCGGGATATCTGGGTTCTTTCGTGCTCAACTGGCAAACTGTGACGTCACTTGTGTCTGAGATCCAGCTCTCAGCGTCACTGCTATCTGACAGTTCCTTTCTAGTTGCAGCTAATTTACAGGCTTGCTTGCTAACTTGTGCAGCGGCAATCACGTTCTTCCTCTTGCTCCTTCTAGTTGTCGGGGTAGCAAGCGCCCACTCCCTCTCATCGTCTGCCTCCCCTGTCTCTCTTCCCACCGCATCCCCCTCTACCATTTCCGCTCTGGACGTCCAGTCACCTTGTTCCTCTACCTGCATCTCTCTCAGCTCTTCCTGAGCTCTACCTGCCTGCTTCCCTTCCTGTTCTCCCCGCTCACCACTTTCCTGCGCTGCCTCTTCTTCCCCACCCTGCGCACCATCCTTCCGCAAATTCTTGCTCTCCGTCCTGTCCTCACCTTCCTTGATTCCAAACGTTCCACTACTCTCATCAGGCCCAGAAACATCTCCTTTCACCACCACTGGAGCCACTACTCCAACAGCCACGGTCTCACCTACCGCTACCGCAGAAGGAGACGCAGCGGTGGATTCCGCCGCCTCCCCAGCCTCTCCCGGTGGCTGCCCTGTCTGTTCGGCAGCAGCGGGCTGCTGCTCTGCCGGGGCTGGGGGGGCCGGTCCGCCCGCTCCTGCCTGGACACATTTTTATGATGTGGCCTTCCTGACCGCACCCAAAGCATTTCATGTTTGCCGAAGTGGCAAACAACATGTAATCAAACCCCTCGATTTTAACGTGAAAACATAAATCTAATTCCTCATCCCTCTTATTTAGAACCATAAACAACCGCCTGCGATGTGACACTACGTGTTTTAGTAACGGTGACTTGCACCCAGATAGCACCTTTCTAATTGGTGACACGACCTTTCCGTGGCGTCATAGTTCTTTAATTAAGAACTTGTCGCTGATAAACGGAGGGACGTTAGATGATCTTTGTTGCCGGTAGCGTTAAAGGTCAAACGTGCAAAAACAAACCATTTACAGAAACACCCACCTCCACCAAGTGTTGCGCCTGTTCCACCTTCTCCCCAAATAAAACCACAGCCCCCTTCATCCTAGCCAACGATGTTATTGCCTTATACCCAATGTCTTTACCCACCACCAAACAAACTTCCTCCACGCTGCACGGGGAACCGGCGCCCACCTTGACGCCGTTCCTCCGCGTCAGCGCGGAGGACCAACCACTCCCAACACCAACCACCATGGCGTCTGAAGACGTCTGCCTCGCGGCCACACCCAATGCCCCCAAAAAACACCTTAAATCGTGACCAAACTTAACACAAACCAACAATTAAACAAGTAAAACAAATCACCCAGTTAAGAATCAGTAATAAAAAGCCAAAAGATAAAGAAAACCACTCGCTCTCGCACTTTCTCTTCCACCGCTCTTCCAGTCACGTCCTCCTCACACAAGAAGAAGAAATGCAGCGCATTCAGACCTCAAATAATGTCAATAAATCAAGTTCATATTCATTTAGAAACAACAATACTTATGTTTTAACACAGAAAAACTTCATAAATCAATATTTGGTGGAATAATAATGAGGTTTTCAGTGGGGTTCAGTTCACTGGTTTCTTACTTTTTTTCAGAGCTGTATCTAAAGATATCCAGTTACTTGTAAGTTTAAAATATAATATCTCACCATCGCCTCCAAACCCAAAAGATGCAGAAAAGAAGTGCAAGTGAACAGCCAACTGTGAAGGAAATGAAAGAAAATAGATATTTGATAATTTTGCATTTCAGTCACAGAAAATGATAATATTAATTTCAAAGAGGCACTTTCATTCATGTTACCTGCCACGCCTATCAACAGTAGGTTTAAAGGAGGTTCAATTTCTGCAAAGATAAAATAATATTAAAACCAAACCCAAGAGATTTGCTCTTTAGATAAGAGCAAAACTAAAAATGTTGCTCTTTTCTTTAGATCTCAAAATACTCTAGTCTGCAAGTACAAAACAGTGTAGTCAATGGATTTACAAAATGACAGCAAAGATCCAATTAAGTATTTTTAAGGAAAATATCAACATAGTTAAATATGCACAGTTCTTCGGAAAACTAATGAAAAATCCTTATAACTTACAATTACAAACATGCCACGTTACTTGTGTGATTCTTTCGTAATGCAGTGACTCACCAAGGTCGTCTCCAGAGCAGTGATCAATGTAGAAGTTTTCAACTTCTGCATTGTCTGAGAAATCTATAATTTATTTACTGCTGAGCTACACAGAAAATTCACTTGATTGTGATAAAAAAAAAAAAAAAAAAAAAAACTGGTGGAGTGACAAATTTTTGATTAAAATTTTGCTTTCCAACTTTATTTACTTCATTTCACCTGCCACAGCTATCAACAATGGGTTTAAAAGAGATGTATTTTCTGCAATATTAAAATAATATTAAAACCAAACCCAGATTTTACTCTTGTCTGCAAGTACAAAACAGTGTAGAAAATGGATTTACAAAATTACAGCAAAGATCCAATTAAGTATTAGTAAGGAAAACATCAACATAGTTCAATATGCACAATTCTTTGGAAAAATGAAAAATTACTCCTGCTTAGGTCAAGACACATCCACTTATGATTCTCCAAACATGCCATGTTACTTCTGCGATTCTTTCGTAATGCAGTGACTCACCAAGGTCGTCTCCAGACCGGTGATCAATGTAGAAGTTTTAACTTTTGATACTTTTTAATAAGGTGGATGCTGATGCACTGGTTGTAATAATAGTTTCATCAGATGATATTTTGTAGACTTTAAATAACAAAGTTAGCATAACTCTTGTTTATTTCCTAATTTGGAAATAATACATGTTTCCTCAAAATACCCCAAAACTCCCTAGTGAGGCTGCTACCCCCACGACCCGACTCAATATATAGATGTGGTCAGGAAATCTTAAAAGGGGACAATTTATTTTTCGTTGAACTTTATGTAAATATATATTGTCCTCCAGTGAATGTGACACAAAGTAAAATAAAAATGTAAATCTATTGAAAAATACTCTTGTTACGTATTCTATAAGTTGTTTTGTTGCAGGAGTAAATGAAATACTTTTTGTTGTAATTTTGCCTTCTTTGGTCTATTCTGTCACAAAGGATTCAGCTGCATTTTGACATATTCTAAATATGCAACGTGAAGCTAATTTTAATTTGGCATGAACAACACACTTTATCTATAACTGTCATCCATCCACCATCCATTTGTTTTTAGGTTTAGTTCTTAGTAATTACCTATCTTGCAACCTTTTATGAAAAACTTATCTCCTCTAAAATATGTTAGCAAGGCACATTTGACAAATGATTAACAGGTTAGGGTAAAATAACTTTCATATTCAAGGACTCACTCTTGCAGATTAGATCTGGCTCAGTCCAAGTCCCATCAATGCAGGTTATGATCTCAGAGCCACTTTCTTTTTCAAATCCATTGGCGCACTCATAGGTGACTTTGGTACCATCTGGGAAATCCTCTCTTAGGAGGGATTCATTCGTGAGAACCATGTTCTCCACACTCTTAGGTGTGGGGCAATTACCTAGAAGGAAATATAAATCTTGCATGAGCCTTGTAGTTGATCAGCATTTCATCTGCCATTACCCAACATTGATGCTGCAGCCTACTAACAAGACCACCAAGGCCCCATGAAGACTTATATAGTAATCGTAGATTTTCAATGTTATTAATTTTTTTCAACTAAATAACTTCAGATCATGTTGTCAACATTTCCTTCCCTTTGTGATCACTCCTCTACTTTTAATTCTCTCTAAAGCTAGGATTATTGTTGACAATTTGAACCTGCTTGAGGACCTACAAATATTTGTAGGGATTGTTCTGCATACACCATCTTTCACTCAAATTGTATGGCTGCATTTCAACTCCTTGTATGATTACAGAGCAGGTTGATCTTTACCAGCATTTCTATGAACCCTCTCTGAGGATTCATTTCTGAAGAATCAGGGATGGATTTTTTTTTTTTTTTTAACTGGCCACATGGGCTAGTAAAGAAAACTTTTCATTGTCGACACAAACATTTCACAAGCCACTGTTTTCTTACCACATTCCATGCTAAGTGGCTCTCATTGTGCTTATCAGGAACCTAAAAGCTTCAGAAATAGCTTGACAAATTTTTCCAGATTGATAAATATCAGAGATGTTGTCATCTCATCATAAAATAACTAAGAACAAGTCATAATATGTTGCTTTTTTAGTTCTTCATAGACATGTTGTCTGGGAGTCTCAAAGTATATTTGATGTTTCTTATTAGTTCGGTGTGAAATCTACAAAAGGCTGGAAATACAGTGTATATTATTATCCTCTAATGAATGTGTCACAAAGTATAATATAAACACAATAATAAACTATGATGAGATTTGTGCTTTTATTGTACATACATTGATTTGTGGTTGAGCTTTGTAGTTGACTTTCATATATAAAACCACAACTCCCAGGACTATTATATTACTGAGGCACATTATTGAAAATATTGTAACAAGACATTTTAATGTATCTTCTTTTACAATTTCACTGCAAGAACAAGAGTAAGTTTGTTTCATTTACGGAAGAATATGTAGGTAAAGGCCCATCTGGGAACGTGCATTATGAACGAGCTAGGGCTGTAAATATTCTATCACTCATAATTTGTTTATTCTTAACACTTATTCCCATTCAAATAAACGGTAAAGACAGAATTTGCATTTCAACTCATGCTATGGTTTGCTTTTTTGATCATGTTAGAATTCTGACGACACTTGTTCAAAAACCTGTAAAATTAATAACAATTAACCATTAGCCATGTTGCAGTAAGGGTTTCATCTCAGGATGGATTATTGTTAGTTTTATAGAGTGGTGAAATGATAGGTGGGACAATGAGCTAATTTACAAGTAGTGGAGAGATGATTTGTGTTATTCACAAATGTGTTTGCAAGCTGTTTGTATTTTGTCTCAGCTAACTGATCTTCTATCAAGCCTGAAAATAAGCACAAGAACTTACGGACACATCGTGGTGGCTCAGAATCATATTCAGCACTTTCAGTACACGTAATGGTTTCATTCCCAAACAAGGTGTATCCTGCGTCACATGTGAAATGTATAGTTTGTTCATATTTTGGTTCACGGTCACTATTCCAAGAATGTTTGCCATTTTCCACTTTGATCGGTTTGGAACAAGTAAGAGCTGGAAAAATTGGCAAAAGAAAAAACATTGCTGTTTCAATCAAATTCAAAGTTTATTTTTATTGCTCATTTTTAACAGCCTCAGCAGAACAAAGTGCTTCACAATAAAAACAACATCGCAGGCAGATAAAAAAATTCAAATAAAATTACGTTTAGCAAAAATAATAATAATAAAATTAGCAAAACTTCAAATGAATGAAAACCAAAACAGTACATAATTTTAGATGAAGCAATTTACCTCCATCCTTCCATTTCAGGCACAAAGTGCTTCAGTAAACTGTGTTGAGAAAAGAGAGAATATTTCAAACTGATCAACACTTACAGATACAGTCTGCGATTCCAAACCATCCTTCGTCCATGCACTGTTTGAAGCTCGCTCCACTGACCCGGTAGCTGCATAAAGACAAAGGAAGTCATAAAGACTGATACAATCTGTTGAGCCATGAATAAAAAAGTTTAGTTCACGAGTCAGATTTAATAATTAAAGATTATGGTAAATTTTCTATTTACACTTTTGGAGTCGTAGTTTGCTGACAGGATCCAAACGCCCCGTCTTTTCAGGAGGATGTAGGCTATATTTCTTCCAAAACTAACACTGGCTATATAAATTTTATAAAAGAGTAAGGTTTCTGTTTTAAAGAATAATTGTACAGCACATACACACACCTACTTATAGCATGTTGCTTAATGTCATAAAGGGGAGGAAAAAACTAATAAAAAAACACTTCTGCAGTTGACAAAGCAGGGTTTCCACCAGAAAACGTCAGAGCCCAGTGGTAGGGGCACCCAGGCGGTCCATCGTGTTTTTGTGTCAGAGGATGTTAAGCTGACAGAAAATTTTAAAATATGAAATGTTACAGGAAGATATCACCAGTGAAATGCTATTTACACCAACAGCAATAGTCTTACAAGCAACAAATCAAAAAAATACAATTAAAATGAGTAAAAGTAAAGCCTGGCAGGCCGCACAGCTTATAATACACTGGGGGAAACGCTGCAAAAGAATAAAGGATTACCCATAAGTGCTAATTAATAACACAAAATAGGAAAATTTGAGGTAATATCAGCGTTTTAACAAGTTTTCAGCCAAAAAAAAGAGCACAAGATTCCTTTGTTTTGATCAGCATTATATGAAAATAGGGGGGACAACATAAATAAGTTGCTTTTCTCATGCAGCAGTTAGATGGAAGGAGAGTGAAAAACCTCTCAGTGGTGGCTGTGGCAGCATCAATCAATACAAGAAAAGAGTTACTATACGATTATTGATGTGTGGATCGGAATTTTCTGAAATAAAATACTGTAGTCGAAATAATAACAACACATGAAACATAAGTTTTTAAATATTATTGTATTAATATTGATAGACTTACATGGAGTATAAATAATTACAAACTAACCTCAGCTCTTATAACAAGAAATTATATAACAACTGGTAGAATGGCACTGGAGATAAAATAATAGTTCCTCAGCTGAGTTCACCTACCTTTAGCACCCTTGAGAAACAGTGAAGTTACCACTCTTACACAAGGTATGCTCCATTAAGTGTGAAGAAAGTAGTCATTTTATGTCTTAAATATCAGGAATGTAACTCAGTTGATTATCTCAGATTTATTTTTACTGAACATTCACATATAAAAACAACTGAACTGAAATCAAGAAGCAAGAAATTTGTATAAAACGCTGCTGTGAAGAAATTTATAAACAGCTCATTACTCAGTTCAACTCTATCAATTTTCTATTTAATCTCAAATTTTACTAATCCACACAAACATTTCACCAGCAACTTTTTCTCCCTGTGTGCAACATCATCGCTGAGCTATTTCAGAGAACCTACATCACATTCCATTTTTTCTACATTGGATGTAATTGTCTCTCATGGAGTATTACAGTTTAAAAGCCTCAGAAATAGTTTAAAATGACTTAAATCAGGTCATAATGTGTTGGTTATTTAAAATCTTTATAGCAATGTTGTAAGGGAGTTTTCACACACTGTTGCTGATATATTGGCCCATTCTTTCATGCATATCTCCTCTAGAGCAGGAATGTTTTGGGGCTCTCGCTGGGCAACACAGACTTTCAACTCCCTTCAATGGTTTGCTATGAGGTTGAGATCTGCAGATAGAAATGCTTCTTACGAAGCTACCCCTTTGTTTCCCTGGCCATGTGTTTGGGATCATTGTCATGCTGAAAGATCAGCCTATGTTTCATCTTCAATGCCCTTGTTGATGGAAGAAGTTTTGCAAACAAAATCTCATGATACAGGGTCCCATTCATTCTTTCATATACAAAGATCAGTCATCCTTGTCCAGTTGCAGAGAAACAGCTTCAAAGCATGACGTTGCCATCCCCATGCTTCACAGCAGGTATAGTGTTCTTTGGATGCAACTCAGCATTCACTCTCCTCCAAACACAACTCAAGTTTATACCAAACTGTTCTACTTTGGTTTCATCTGACCATGTGACATTCTCCCGATGCTGTTGTGGAACATCCAAATGCTCTGTAGTAATCTTCAGATGGGCCAGGATATGTACTTTCTTAAGCAGGGGAACGTTTGACTCTGCAGGATCTGAGTACCTGGTGGTCTAGTGGATTTTTCAATTACTTTAGATTGTTTAACACCTTGCAGTGTGAAAGTGAACCATACCAGCTAAAATGTAACAAATGTTGTAATTTCAGTCTTCAGTCCCCAATTGAACTGAGTCGACTGGACTAGCAGGTGTGAAAACACCCTTAGTGGAGTTAATGCAAGTCAAAGCATACACTTAATTTTCTGAGATAACACAATGACATTTTAGCAGATAATAATGGAATTTGAATACTTGGAATCACACATACCCGTCTTCACAGATTACTGTAGCCATTGCACCAATTATAGTACCCTCTTCGGTTTCAAATGACATGTGCGGTTTTGTTTCTGGGACACCACAGTCTATCCCTTTGATATAAAGAAACAACAAAAACAAAACAACCCCCCCCCCCAAAAAAAAAGTAGACATTATTGTAGGATTACAAAGAGCCAAGATGACCATGAAAGGCATGATGGATGACTGTTTGTAAGATGTAAAATGCAAGTTAAACAAGACTCACGCTTGCAGTTGATATCTGGCTTGGTCCACTTCCCATTGACACATCTAGTGATTCCAGTGCCACCTATTTGATCACACCCCTTCATGCATTCATATTTGATCACAGTACCACTTGGAAAAATCCTTTTTCGGAGGGTCTCAGCAGAGAGAACTGTGTTCTGTACATGTTGAGGTTTGGGACAGTCAGCTAGGAGGAAATAAAAATAAAGAAAAATCACACACAAGCTTGCACACATAAAAGCAAAGCTATTATGTGTGTATAAAAAAGCTTGCAAATAACACAAATCGTAAGTGTCTCTTTTATGGAAAAATATGTTGTGAATGGCTCATCTGGGAACATGCATTGCAAACCAGCTAAAGCTATAAATGTTATAGTGTTCATAATTTGTTTATACTTAACACTTGTCCCCATTCAAAAAAAAAAAAACAATACAGAAAAAAAGCATATTTTACTTTTTTGATCATGTTAGAAATTTAATGACATTTGACAAAAACCTATGAGATAAATCAAAAAATAACTGTTAGTCATGATATTGTTAGGTTTCCATCATAGGATGGATCATTGTCAGTTTTATACTGTGGTGAAATGATAGACTGGACAATCATTTAATTTGCAAGTAGTGGAAAGACGATTTGTGTTATTTGGAAGCTTTTTGTATCTTATCTCAGCTATCTTATCTTATGAAGCCTAAAAAACAACACAAGAACTTACCGACACATCGTGGTGGCTGAGAATCATATCCACCAGTTTCAGTACACCTAACGGTTTCATTCCCAACCAAGTTGTATCCTGTGTTACATGTGAAACGTATAGTTTGTCGATATTCTGGTTTACGGACATTATTCCAAGAATGTCTGCCATTTTCCACTCTGGTCGGTTTGGGACAAGTAACAACTGCAAAAATTGGCAAAAGAAAATAAAAATTGCTGTTTCAGGTACAAAATATTTTAGTTGAAAAAAAAAGAGTATAATTTAAACTGAACAGAGCTAAAAATAACTGTTACTCATGATGTTGTTAGGTTTCCATCTCAGGATGGATCATTGTCAGTTTTATACTGTGATGAAATGACAATGAGCTAATTTACAAGTAGTGGAAAGACGATCTGTGTTATTTGGAAGCTTTTTGTATCTTGTCTCAGCTAACTGATCTTCTATGAAGCCTGAAAAACAGCACAAGAACTTACGGACACATCGTGGTGGCTGAGAATCATATTCACCAGTTTCAGTACACCTAATGGTTTCATTCCCAACCAAGTTGTATCCTGTGTTACATGTGAAACGTATAATTTGTCGATATTCTGGTTCAAGATCATTATTCCAAGAATGTCTGCCATTTTCCACTCTGGTCGGTTTGGGACAAGTGACAACTGCAAAAATTGGCAAAAGAAAATAAAAATTGCTGTTTCAGGTACAAAATATTTTAGTTGAAAAAAAAAAGAGTATAATTTAAACTGAACAGAGCTAAAAATAACTGTTACTCATGATGTTGTTAGGTTTCCATCTCAGGATGGATCATTGTCAGTTTTATACTGTGATGAAATGACAATGAGCTAATTTACAAGTAGTGGAAAGACGATCTGTGTTATTTGGAAGCTTTTTGTATCTTGTCTCAGCTAACTGATCTTCTATGAAGCCTGAAAAACAGCACAAGAACTTACGGACACATCGTGGTGGCTGAGAATCATATTCACCAGTTTCAGTACACCTAATGGTTTCATTCCCAACCAAGTTGTATCCTGTGTTACATGTGAAACGTATAATTTGTCGATATTCTGGTTCAAGATCATTATTCCAAGAATGTCTGCCATTTTCCACTCTGGTCGGTTTGGGACAAGTGACAACTGCAAAAATTGGCAAAAGACAAGGAAAATTGCTGTTTCAGGTACAAAATACTTTAGTTGAAAAAAAAGAGAATTTAAACTGAACATTTACCTTCACAATTTGCAGTCTGTTTGTTAGATGTAAAATGCAAGTTAAACAAGACTCACGTTTGCAGATGATATCTGGCTTGGTCCACTTCCCATTGACACATCTAATGATCCCAGTGCCACTTATTTTATTATATCCAATTATGCACTGATATTTGATCACAGTACCACTTGGAAAAAGCCTTTTTAGGAGGGACTCAGCAGAGAGAACTGTGTTCTGTACATGTTGAGGTTTGGGACAGTCAGCTAGGAGAAAATAAAAATGAAGAAAAATCACACACAAACACATACACATAAAAGCAAAGTTATGATTGTGTTATTTGGTTATTTAAAAATTATTCTAAAAAATATGTTTAAGAAACAAATTAGTTGAAGCTTATATTTGGACACAAAAAAAAGTGTCAAATGTTTCTGTAAGTAAACAATGGCATGCAAGGTGTCTGCATTTATAAATCTGATTAAGTCAGTGCCTCACCAGCTATGAACCTAACTGTACATCCTGGGAATCAGGGAAGGAAATTTAGCATGTTCTCCATTGCTCAGAGTGGCTGGTGAAGAAAACATTTCATTGACTTTTTTCTCAGCACAAGAACTTACCAATGCATCGTGGTGGCTCAGAATCAAATTGAGCAGTTTTAGTACATCTAATGGTTTCATTCCCAAACAAGGTGTATCCTGCGTTACATGTGAAACGTATAGTTTGTTGATATTCTGGTTCACGGACACTATTCCAAGAATGTTTTCCATTTTCCACTTGGATCGGTTGGGAACAAGTAACAGCTGGAAAAATTGGCAAAAGAAAAAGAAAATTGCTGTTTCAGGTACAAAATACTTTAGCTGAAAAAAAGAGAAGAATTTAAACTGAACAACATTTACCTTCACAAATTGCAGTACCATGCCATCCTGAGAGACGGCAATGTTTGAAACTCGATCCAATGAGCCGGTAACTGCATAAAAACATAAGAAGTCATAGAGACTGTTAGTATCTATTTGACAATCAGAATAGTTCAGCTGATGAATAATATTTTATAATTAAAGATCATGCTACTAATTTTACGTTTTCTATTTACTCTTTCACACAGAGTCATAGTTTGCTGATGGGATGCAAAAAAAACAACCTTTAAGGAGATAGCAGGCTATATTCCTTCTCAAAATAGCGATGGCTATATCATCTTTTTTATGAAAGACAAACTTTTGTTTTGCTTTAAAGTAAAATTGCACAGAATAGATGCACATCTCTACATACTGCCTTTGTTGCACCATTTTACATAGATAGAAAGAATCAGGATAGTTCTGTTAATTTGCTTCTCTCATGCAGCATTGTAATGGAGTGAGACATAAACATAACACATGTTGCTGAATGTCATAAAGTGAAGGAAAAAAGCTAATTACTAAACAAAAATAATAATAAACTGGCAAATAAAGAATATTTTTTTATAGATATCTGAAAAATAAAATAATTAAAGGCAGCTTTTTAGTTTTTGCCATTAGTTTAACAACCATTACGAAATACATAACTGACTCAAGAAAAATTATGTCTAACTTCTCATAAATCATACAAAGAAAAAAAAACTCTTCTGCAGTTCACAAAAGATTAAAGGGTTACCTATAAGAAATAATTAATAACACATAATAGAACAATTTGGTTAAATATCTGCATTTTAACAGTGTGTTTCAGACAAAATGTCAACATAGGCTTCTATCTTCTGCCATTAGGTCATTGTTCAGACTAAAAATATGTTTGCATCAGTTTTACATGAAGACTGAGAGGAAGGAACAAAGCATTTTGCTTTTTTTCATGCAGCAGACAGATGGAAGGTTAGGAGAGTGAAAAAGATCCAAGAAAAGAGTTACTAATTGATTACTGATATATGGATTGCAATTTTCTTAAATAAATAATACCACAATTAATCCGTCCATCTATCCATTTTTTTTCTTACACCCTTATCCCATCGGGGTCGGGAAGGGTACTGGTGCCTATCTCCAGCTGTCACAACAATCAATCAAATATGACAAAAAAAGTTGTTTTCTCGGTGTATGCAACATATTCCCATCATTCTGCAGGTTTTTCTGCCCCCCCCCCCTCCGTTTTGTTCAGGGTGAATCTGGAGGTAGAGCAGTCATCTTGTGATTGGAAGGTGGTAGGTTTAATTCCAGCTTCCTCTTGCCACATGTTGGTGTGTTCCTGGGCAAGGCACATAACTGACAAATTGCTTTCCAGTCTGTGTATCGGTTTACAAATGTGTGAGCATTTATGAATGCAAATGGGTGAATGTAACTCTAATGTAAAGCGCTTTAAGTGGTCAAAATGATTGGAAATCTGTATATGTTCAGCCCATTTATCATTTTCCATCTGGAATTTTTGATGCATGGAGTGAGATCCTTCTTGGATCCCTAATCAAGCGGTATTATCAGTAGTCTTGAATGTCTTCCATTTTCTCATTACTGCTCCCACAGAACAATACAAGCACAATAACAAACAAAAATAATGCTGGATATGTAATTTTTTTTTAAAGGGATTTTCATTGGGGCTGCACAGTGGAGCAGTTGGCAGCAATGTTGCCTTGCAGCAAGAAGGTCCTGGGTTCAATTCCCAGCATGGCGTCTTTCTGCATGGAGTTTGCATTTTCTCAATGAACATGCATGGGTTCTCACCGGGTTCTACGGCTTCCTCCCACAGACCAAAAACAACTTTCAGGTAAATTGGTCTCTCTAAATTCTCCCTAGCTGTGTGTGTGTGCTTGGTTGTTTATGTTGTGTGAAGAAGAAAGTCACACTCGTGTCTTCTTTTAAGTTTTTCATGTTATTTTCTTCAGTAGATCTTGATGGAACTGCCACACCACCAAAGGTGAGTAGGTGAGTAGGAATTTTCAATTACTTTGGATTGTTTAACACCTTGCAGTGTGAAAGTTAACCATACCAGCTAAAATGTAACAAATGTTGTAATTTCAGTCTTCAGTCCCCAATTGAACTGAGTCAACTGGACTATCAGGTGTGAAAACACCCTTAGTGGAGTTAATGCAAGTCAAAGCATACACTTAATTTTCTGAGATAACACAATGACATTTTAGCAGATAATAATGGAATTTAAATACTTGGAATCACACATACCCTTCTTTACAGGTTACTGTAACCACCGCACCAAATAGAGTACCCTGGCTGGTATCAAATACCATGTGCGGTTGTGCTGCTGGGAAACCACAGTCTTTCCCTTTGATATAAAGAAACAACAAAAACAAGCAAAAAAAAAAAAAAAGTAGACATTATTGTAGGATTACAAAGAGCCAAGATGACCATGAAAGGCATGATGGATGACTGTTTGTTAGATGTAAAATGCAAGTTAAACAAGACTCACTCTTGCAGTTGATATTTGGCTTGGTCCACTTCCCATTGACACACGTAATGACTCCTGTGATAGGTATTCGATCTTGTCTAAGTACGCACTTATATTTCATCACAGTACCAATTGGAAAAGTGTTACTCTGAAGGAGCGACTCATCAGTGAGAACTATCTCTTCATAGTGAGGTTTGGAACAGTCAGCTAGGAGGAAATAAAAATGAAGAAAAATCACACACAAACACACACGCATAAAAGCAACGCTGTTGTTCTGGTATTTGGTTATTTAAAAATTATTCTAAAAAATATGTTTAAAAAACAAATTAGTTGAAGCTTATATTCAAACACAAAAAAGTGTCAAATGTTTCTGTATGTAAACAATGGCATGCAAGGTGTCTGTATTTATAAATCTGATTAAGTCAGTGCTTCACCAGCTATGAACCTAACTGGACGTCCTGGGAATCAGGGAAGGAAATTTAGCATGTTCTCCATTGCTCACAGTGGCTGGTGAAGAAAACATTTCATCGACTTTTTCACCAGCCACTTTTTTTTGTCTTTGTATTGTCATTCGTTCTTAAAATTACTTTGATCATGTTATAGTGTGTTGCTTTTTTAGAAAGAGGGGGCAATAATTTTCAAAGAATTTAATATAAATATACATTTTACTTCAGTGATTTTGTCACAAATTACAATATAAGCAGAATAATAATCAATTTTTGGATTATGCTTGTATTCTATATACTTTGAATTGTGGTTGGGATTTTTAACTCTATTATATAAACAACCACAAACCACAGGATATTTTTTAGAAGGGGTCCGGGGAGAGGTTTGGCACATCATTAAAAATATCATTGCAAAAGATTCTAATTTCTACTCTTTTACAATTTCACTCCAAGAACAAAAGTAAGTGTCTCTTTTATGGAAAAATATGTTGTGAATGGCCCATCTGGGAATGTGCATTGCAAACCAGCTAAAGCTATAAATATTATCGTGTTCATAATTTGTTTATACTTAAAACTAATAAAGAACAAAACCATCTTTTACTTTTTTGATCACATTAGAAATTAAAAAATAACTGTTAGTCATGATGTTGTTAAGTTTCCATCTCAGGATGGATCATTGTCAGTTTTATACAGTAGTGAAATGATAGGCTAGACAATCAGATAATTTACAAGTAGTGGAAAGACGATTTGTGTTACTTGCAAGCTTTTGTATCTTGTCTCATCTAACTGATCTTCTGTGAAGCTTGAATAACAGCACAAGAACTTACGGATACATTGTGGTGGCTCAGAATCATATCCACCAGTTTCAGTACACTCAATGGTTTCATTTCCAACCAAGCTGTATCCTGTGTTACATGTGTAACGTATAGTTTGTCGATATTGTGGATTATGGCCACTTATCCAAGAATGTCTGCCATTTTCCACTCTGGTCGGTTTGGGACAAGTAACAACTGCAAAAATTGGCAAAAGACAAAGAAAATTGCTGTTTCAGGTACAAAATGCTTTAGTTTTCTTGCAAAAAGAGAACAATTTAAACTGAACAGAACTAAAAAATAACTGTTAGTCATGATGTTGTTAGGTCTCCATCTCAGGATGGATCATTGTCAGTGTTATACTGTGGTGAAATGATAGGCTGGACAATGAGCTAATTTACAAGTAGTGGAAGGAAGATTTGTGTTATTTGGAAGCTTTTTGTATCTTGTCTCAGCTAACTGATCTTCTATGAAACCTGAAAAAAAGCACAAGAACTTACGGACACATCGTGGTTGCTGATAATCATATCCACCAGTTTCAGTACACCTAATGATTTCATTCCCAACCAAGTTGTATCCTGTGTTACATGTGAAACGTATAGTTTCTCGATATTCTGGTTTACGGACACGATTCCAAGAATGTCTGCCATTTTCCACTCTGGTCGGTTCGGGACAAGTAACAACTGCAAGAATTGGAAAAAGAAAAACAAAATTGCTGTTTAAGGAACAAAATACTTTAATTGAGAAAAAAGAGAGAATAATTTAAACTGAACAGAACTAAAAAATAACTGTTAGTCATGATGTTGTTAGGTTTCCATCTCAGGATGGATCATTGTCAGTTTTATACAGTGGTGAAATGACAGGCTGGACAATGAGCTAATTTACAAGTAGTGGAAAGACGATTTGTGTTATTTGCAAGCTTTTTCTATCTTCTCTCAGCTAACTGATCTTCTATGAAGCCTGAAAAAAAAGCAAACGAACTTACTGACACATCGTGGTGGCTGAGAATCATATTCACCAGTTTCAGTACACCTTATGATTTCATTCCCAACCAAGTTGTATCCTGTGTTACATGTGAAACGTATAGATTGTCGATATTCTGGTTCAAGATCAGTATTCCAAGAATGTCTGCCATTTCCCACTTCATCCGGTGTGAAACAAGTAACAGCTGGAAAAATTGGAAAAAGAAAAAAAAAAAACTTTAGTTGAGAAAAAAAGAGAATAATTGAACAGAGCTAAAAATAACTGTTAGTCATGATGTTGTTAGGTTTCCATCTCATAATGTATGATTGTCAGTTTTATACTGTAGTGAAATGACAGGCTAGACAATCAGCTAATTTACAAATAGTGGAAACATGGTTTACTTTATTCACAAGTGTATTTGTAAACTGTTTGTATGTTGTCTTAGCTAACATATTTTCTGTAGGTTCTGAAATAAAGCACAAGAACTTACCAATGCATTTTGGTGGCTCAGGATCATATTGGCCCATTATATGCACATAAATGGTTTTACTCCCATGCAAGTTGTATCTGGGTCCAGTGAAATGTATACTTTGTCGATATTCTGGTTTACGGTGGACTAGTCCAAGTATGTGTGCCATTTCCTATACTCGGTATGGAACAAGTAACATCGGAAAAATTGGCAAAAGAAAAAGAAAGTTGCTGTTACAAGCACAAAATACTTCAGCTAAAAAAAAGAGAGAATAATTTATACTGAACAATACTTACATACACATCTTCCATCTCCATACCATCCTGTGTGGGTGCAAAGTATTACGTTCGATCCATAGAGCACGTAACTGCATAAAGTCAAAAGAAGTAATAAAGACTAATATAATCTGTTTGACCATAAGAAAAGTTCAGCTGGTGAATAACATTTAATAATTAAAGATTATGCTGCTAATTTTACATTTTCTATTTACTTTTTCACACAGAATCATAGTTTTCTGATGGGATGCAAAAAAAAACTTCTCTTCTCAAAATAGCGATGGCTATATAATCTTTTTTATGAAAGAGAAACTTTTGTTTTTCTTTAACGTAAAATTGCACAACATGGATGCACATCTTTCCGTGCTGCTGATGTTGCATCCTTGAGCATAGAGAGCAAGAATCAGGATAGTTCTGTTAACTTGCTTCTCTCATGCAGCATTGTAATGGAGTGAGACATAAACATAACACATGTTGTTCACTGTCAAAGTGGAGACAGAAAGCGGCGACAGAAAGCTAATTACATAAGCAAAGTAATAATAAACTGGCAAATAAAGATACAATTTTTATATTTCTGCAAAATAAAATGACTAAAGGCAGGTTTCTAGTTTCTGCCATTAGATTTACAATACAAAATACATAACTGACTCACAGAAAGATTATGTCTAACAACTCATAAAACAAACAAACATACAAAAAAAAAACTATTCTGCAGTTCACAAAAGAAAAAATGATTACCTATAAGAGCTAATTAATAACACAAAATAATACAATTTGGTTAAATATCTGCATTTTAACAGTTTGTTGCAGACAAAATGTCAGCGTAGGCTTCTTTCTTCTACCATTGGGTTATTTTTCAGACTACAAATATGTTTGCATCAGATTTACATAAAGACTAGGAGGAAGGAACAAAGCATGCTCCTAAGTTGCTTTGTTTCATGCAGCAGATTGATGGAAGGTTAGGAGAGTGAAAAAGACCCTCGTAGTGGATGTGGCACTATCAATTAATCCAAGAAAAGATTTACTAATTGATTACTAATATGTAGATTGCAATTTTCTTAAGTCAAATAAGAAAATTATTTGTCCATCCATTTTTTTTCTTACACCCTTATCCCATCGGGGTCGGGATTGGTGCTGGTGCCTATCTCCAGCTGTCACAACGACTAATCAAATATGAAAAATAAGATTTCAACAAGGTTTTTATTGTAGGTAAAATTATTAATAGACTTATCTGAAATATTAATATTGATTATAAACCATTTTAATGTCAACTCTTCTAATACTAAATCACATAACAACTGCATAAAACATCAGCAAATTGCACTGGAGATAGAAAAAAGTCCTTCAAACTATTCCACCTGTCTTTAGCAACCATTGCAAAAAGGTCATTCATACTCCCTCATCAGGTATGTTTTACTCACGGTGAAAAAAGTAGTCATTTTTATTAATATATTAAATATTTTAATTTTAAATGAGGTTATTAGCTCAGATTTTCTTTACTGAATATTCACACATAAAAAAAGCACTGAATTGAACTAATAACGCAAGAAATTTCTATAAAACATAAATCTGAAAACAATGTTTAAACAGCTCCATAAACATTATATAACTCAATTCAACTCAGTTAATGTTACATTTTATTTTGACATATATTTGTACAAATTTTACTGGCTCTAATGTTTTTATTTTTAAATGTGCGGACATATCTAGATGCACATCCTGACAAAAATTTAATTGCTGCATATTACATAAATACTGGTATTGCAGCAATGAACATGTTAGTGTCCCTCATGATTTCGGGCACATTCATACCTAACACATTTGGTCTGGTTTAAACAGATCAAAGTTTGTTTCCCCTGTTGGTCCAGACCTTTTATGGAGCTGTGAATACAGTCATGCAAATCCTGGTGTG